TGGGGATGCCATGTCTTAAGGTGCTGTGGAAGATTAAATGTTTTACGTTAACGGCACAGCTACATTTTGGAGCATGGTCAGGTACGGGAAGGGGGGGGGGAGATGTCATTATGGCTTTTAGTCCTGGTCTGATACACAGTGTTTGGTCACCATTCCACTTGGCATTGTGGAATCTTCTTATCCTCAACGAGTACCACCACAATCTCTGGCAGGAAAAAACTAAACTATAATCAAGTTTCAGATGGGAATTAAAGAACCAACCAGAGTTACCATGTTAAGATTATTCCATACATTATACCTTCATGTAGGTTATGCTGTCCTACCACCAGCCCTTGAAATATAGGGTGCCAAATGCATATTACAGATCAATACGATAAAGATTCATTAAGTTAATTTACGTATAATATATGTTATGCGTTTGAGGCATATTGTTTTTCTTGACTTATCTTTACTTGCAGCTTGTACACTGTCTTTGTGGATGATCTCCACACTTTGATTAGTTTACCTCCAAGCTCAAGACATAGTGATATAGTTACACTTTGCCAGAAGCACAGCAAAAGTCTTGTAATGATAAGATTGCTTTTATCAATCTGTCAATTGTTGCAACTAATGAAAGGAATTTGCAGAGTTGTAACAATGTGGTAATGATTAAATCCCACGCAAAGTTACCAGTAATCACCCAGTCTCACCTGGCTCCCTCGTCACACTTAAGACGCAATTCGGAATGGGAATCTGTGTGAAAGTTACGCTGTGATACGACTGTGTAGCTTTGATTAGCACCACCCGGAGTGAGGCATACTGGCATGCATTTTATTGATGTCTTAAAAGAAATGTAACCATAATTTATAAAGACAAGTTTATCTTTTAGTTTATGACTTTATTGATGTCAAGACAATATTACTAAGAGAAGTTCTAATTTTGGGTTTTGAAAATACTGCTGCTACAGTCAGAGCTTAAGTTTTCATGGCTTTCATAATCTATGAATTACAACACTGTGTAGGAATTACCAGTAAATAGTTGAATTCGAGTTTACAGGTAATGGAAAGGGAAAGAAATTGCAAGTTTCATATTTTTGGTAATTGAATATGCACAGAAGTGTGGAAAATCAAGTAAGTAGCATTAGATCGCAGAGTGGAACTCACTGTCACCAAGTACAGTAGGGGCATTGTCAATAGATAGCTTTAAACAATGTCTAGAGCTAGAAGTTCAAGGGTTAGGTGTAACAAGTCGATCGGTGTAATATAGCCAGCTGCCGCCGCGCCGCGTGCCTGCGAAGCTGGTGTGTTACGCGCCGAAAGGCGGTTATACCGGCTATACAGATACAGATACAGATTGTCTTACAAAAGATTTTTTGGAATCAGCAATACCAGTGTATTTGCCCATAGAAAAAGGAATCCCGGCAGGGGCACATGTACTTATGAAAATAAACTGGCAACTAATCTGTCTCCTGTAATGCCTTTGACAACTGAAGGTGAAACTGAAATACCTGAAACACACTCAGTAATGGCTTTCTAAGAATATTTCAGAATACTTAAAGCTGCCCGTCTAAAGCAGTCAAAGGCTGAGTTGCACCTAGACCTTCTCGAATCACATGACTTAGAAGTCAGTGGTGGGTCATCCTTTCTGAGAAGGCTAAAGCAGACAATTTCATGCTTCTCACTCTGTGTTGGACCAAATGTTGGGTTTCATATATCAAGATGTGTTGTTCACCATCGCAAATGAACCTTCCTGCTAGAGCCTGGACTTTTGCCAGTAGTGCAAGCCTCACATTTGTTTGTCTGAACAGGTGTTATCCAGGATACAGGCTCCCAAACATATTGAAACCCCGGGTATTGCATGTCTATTAAGTGCCGTATACAGTGTCATTATCGCCTTGTTATGGCTAATGTTGATGGCTGCTCTGATATTCATTGATACGAAATGAGATGTAGGGCTCAGGGAAGGTAACTGCTTGTTTCACTGATTGTTGGTTAAACATTCCTATGTATTGTCAGACCAACCACACTAAATACTGTATCAACTTGATATCATAATTGAAAAGAATATGATATAATTGTTACCTTCAAAAATGTTTGAAGAGCAGATTCATTTGTGTCCATTGTAATTGCATATTTTCTTCTGGAAATAGAAATTACCTTTTTTACATTCCAGTGGAACTGACATTGTGTTTTTGATTGTGTTTTTGTCATCTTTGAGTCTGTATCTTTGGATGGTATGGTGCAAATTTTAGAGCAAAATGTCGAAAATGCACTCTTCTTTCAGAAGCCATCATACAAAATATGTAGTCTAACCATGAACAAAGGCAAGCAGAAATAATGAAAAAAGATTGGTTACAGCCATAATTGTGTTTCTCCATCGCATCCAAGATGGGACTTTGGGACGCTCCTCATCACAATCAAACTTGACAAACGCTCCACTTTTACTGCCACCATGCAATAACTCAAGCTCAACAAAAATGACTTCACAAAACATTTTACTGACACAAAAGTTCCTTAAGCCGAAGACAGATGTCCTTCCTCCGTGCCTTTCAGGGGCAAATAGCAGGAAAGGCGACCCGTGAACCTGTACGACAATTTTGCTTCTCTTTGACAAAGTGCCCACAGCCTCCCTAATTGTCTGTGGTAGAAATGAACCACAAAGACGAGGCAGCGACTGGAAACATTTGTGAAGGATCATTTAATTCAAAGGTGACATGTCATCTGGTAGCATGCCTACACTGTGCTTCGCAGTCAGTCATACGTGCACTAATGAAGTGCCCTCTGCCATCTTTGCTTTGTGACTTCGTAGGAGGGATGCATGTCACCAAACAAACACATGAAGGGTATCATTTTTTGGTTCTAGTGCTAATTCATATAAGAGATGTACCTTCATGAGTCTTCAGATGAGGGAATTGTTGAAATAACTGAAGTCTTAAATCAACTGTGGAAAATATCACTTTGGACAAAAGAGGTGGGACTTTCTGGTACCTTTCTTAGATAACATGAAATCTATTTACCAGTAATAAGCACTACCAAGCCAGTGTGAATGGTACAATATATCAGAAGAAATTTGATGATCCAAAATCCTGGTCGCTATCGTCAAGGGAGCGACGTTGGCGGTAAACTACAGCGATCCAAACCTTTGCAAGGCTGTTCCTATAACATCTTGTATGACTACTGAGCCATGGAAAGGAGTTTTGTTGCAGTTTAAGGATGCGTTGTTGTTCCACGAGTACCCTGGGATTTGTCCAGGTTGTAATGGACAACGGAAACTGTCTGCACGTTTCTTACCTGGCGAATCCCGCGCAACAAATGACCCTTCCTGCAAACGTTAAATGTGTGTCCCCACTAAATAACCGTGACAGATAACGCAGATTAGAACAGCACCACCACGGAGAAATGCGTGCATATTTGATATTTCTTGCCCATTAGTTTGCTGACCTCTGATTGGCTGCTGCCACAGCAGCAGATCTATGGGTGACATCCAAAGCAATTTTCTGTCAAAGTGTTGACAAATTTGTCCCCCTCCCAGCGGAAGTACATTATTAGCCGGAGTGTAGATAGGTTCCATTATTGCGTGGCGTACTTCTGAACGAAAAGTGCAATATCATGCGTACTTTCGCTCGGAAAATGAGCAATCTATCAAAAAAGTAACATCCTTGTGGCAATCGATTGGGTGGAAATGGCCGCCCCTTGTACGACATAAAATACGCTGTGGGAGTATCTCTACTTACGGGATTGCTATTTTGTCTATAACGAGCTCGGACCCTCTTCATATCTTGTATTTTAACCTTTGGCTAGCATTAGGCCAGCATTTGTCATCTTAGCGTTGCATTCGAACAGGAAAGGTTTGGGCGCTCGCATTGCAATAAAGGCAGACATTTGCGGTTCTGTTTTCTTTATTTCTCCCACAGTTTATGGATAGAATACTTATGTTTATGATGCTATCGTGACATACTTTTCTCATTATATGGATCATAAACAGCAGTTGTGTGTTATTCCAGACAAAATGGGGGAACAAATTCCGTAAAAAAGATTCATCATTACATCATGTATTATGATAGTATTCATCACTGAAAACCTGACACCTTGCCCATATAGTAAGTACATTTTGTACATCGTTAAGGTCCACACTGTAGGTGTATGTTACCAAATAAATCAGTAGGTAAGGAATTCTGAGGCCGCTACCTGTAAGGGTAGAGCAGACACTGACCTACTTTTGCAGGGAAGTGATGTATCGTCAAGTTTCAATTGGAAAATAGGGAGGGCAGGGAGAGTAATGCTGTTATCACCATGGATACAGGGATCTCCATCCATCACTGATGTTAATCCGTCACATATTTGCTGGCTCCTATGATGTGCATGATTGTGTCTGAATACTTAGATTTCTCCCATCAGATCATTGTAGGAGAGAAAATAGATTGATTGATTGCCACTTTCTGTTGACAAATAGCATAATTCCATAAACATCAGTAACGAGTAATTGGTTGGCGGCTTTGCATGAATAAGTTAACCAGTATTATGAGTGTTGCAAAAAAATACTGCACATCTACCTGGTTCATGGAGTTCAACATTGGCATCAAATTTGTACAGTCACAATGTAATATTATTTTGTTTTTATACTGACTCTATAAGTCATGTATTATCACCTGCAGTTGTTGAATTTGAAGTAATATAAAGCAGTTAGGTTATATGCTTCGATAAAAACATACTAGTATTCAAGGCTCCCTGTGGATCAAGAAGAGTGTCAAGGTGATTTTTCATGACCATGTAATTGAGAATTCAGATTGAGATTAGTGCCACCTAGCCATTTCCTGTGAAAGTGCAGGGGCTAAAACAGTTGACAAATGTCGATTGTACATTACATTATTTATGCTATACAATCATGGTGTATAAGCTTACAATCTTTGCTAAAGCAGTGCTTTGTATATAGTCTTAACATGTTACAATAGATTGTACGATTTCTTCTCATTCATAAACACTCAGCGTATATAACTAAGGCCTGTGTTTCCTTTGTTACAGTATCGGAGGCTGTGTATGATGAGTATATGGACGTGACAACAAGTCTTGATGTGGAGAAGAACTGCAGGGAAGAGGCAGAGAAATATGCTGCTAATGTATGTATTCTATACATTGTTATACAAGTTTCTAGACAATCAAATACCTTAAATGCTGAACTGTAATCCCTGTTCCAGTAGTTAGGTTTCGTTCATTATAGATTACATACATGGTGCATGCCCAGGAGTACAGACAGTACTGAAATATTGGTGTTCCCTGTAGTTAACAACACTGCTATGATGTTATGTGACTGAAAGTGAAGCTGGCCCTGTCTGAGGACCCTGTCTGATAAACTACCATTACCAAGTATTATTTTGTGTGACAGAGCAGACTGGGCCTTAGAAAATATTAGACATGTTGAGGTGTCAGTAAATTCTTGTGGTTGGTTGGAAACATGTCCCCTCCTTACCTGCAGATCGTGAAGGAGAACAAGCAGCTGAAGAGAGCGAGTCAGATGTTCATTCAGCAGCACGGCGGACAGCTACCGGAAATCCCTGTGTTCGAGAACGGAGACGACTCAGAAGTGGAAAGACTCAATGCCAGAAACAGAGGTCAGTTCTGATTTGTGTTGGTAGACACTAACTCACCTGGCCATTGCACTGCTCATAACAATATGTATGATGAAATAAAGCTGAAGATTTGTACTTAAATCAAAACCGTTTCCTTTACAGTGTGTTGTTGGATTTTGCTGGCTGCAACGAGAAATGACAAGTCTCCAGTACAGTATACAATGTAGAACTGATGAACTTTATTCCCTGCAGAGTTGAGTGATGAGTTGTCTGAGCTGAAGCTTCTCCAGTCCAGAACACAAAGGAAACTAGAGAAGGCTGAGGAAGACATCAGGATCATCAACCAACAGGTCAGATATCCTCATCTAGTTCGTCATCTAGCTGTAATTTTCATTCAACTGCACGTGTATTTATATAAGCTTACCATTTAGGATGATTAAGAATTTTTTGCTGTGAAACTGCATCATACCCTGACTGTAAAATACTGAATCTTATTTGTAATATTTGTGATAAGCATAGATTTTGTGAGAGATGAGCTGTGTAAGAATTGTGTTTTTTTCCACCACAGTATGTAGAGGAGTGCACACAGCACCAGGAGACAAAGAAGACACAGGTTTCCCTGGAGGAGACCATCAAGAAGTTCCAGAGAGGTGAGTCAGTCTGTGCCATCTTCACATCCGTTCAGTAATTATTACCTTCCCCAGAAATAGTGAAGTATTGCTGTTGGCCTGTCTGTCTGTGTGTCTGTTATTCCCAAACATCTTTAGGGCTGCTATTTATTTGCTATTTGTGTCTGTAGGACTGGAAGGGTTGCAAAGCAGTATGGGTAAGGGGCTGAAGTCTGCCATCTCCCGTTGCCTAGTTCTCATAACTGTTCATGCTCTTCTCTACCTTAGCATTGAGCATGCTGACTCCATTTTGTGTCCTTGCAGTTTCTGTGTTAGCCCTTGGGGAGTACCAGGACTTGAGATCCAAGTTTGACATGGAGAAGAGCTGCAGAGTGAGGGCAGAGAGCTACGCTGCAGAGGTTAGTCCTTATAATTTACTGTCAGACAACGAAATGCCAAACTGGGATAGTGGAACTTGGGCGCATGCATCATACTAGAATTGAGATCACAGAATGTAACTTAAAATTTGTGGTAGCTTCCAATCACATCCCAAACCGATGATTGATGTTCTATCTCTAAGATTAAATCTTGATGCTCTCCAAACGGGAAAATTATTTCTCTGCAGATGTTGCGTCAGCAGAAGGCCATGGCCAGGCAGAGTGTCATTGTCATGCAGTCAGTGGCAGCAGACGAACGACTGACGAAATCTCTACAGGAAGTAGAAGAGCTGACGACATCACTGGAGCAGGAGAGGTTTGAACATGAACAGAAGGTACAGTCATGGTTTGTACACCATGGAAGTCATTGGTTTTTACAATCATGCTACATTTTGTACTTTGTTCTTCAATATTAGGGATGATCTTAAAATCAGTTGAGGCTATGATACTGGTTGTGACAACAATCAAACAAGACTTCTCTCCACGGCAGATAAAGGAGATGGAGGAGCAGGTTACCACGGCAGCAGATGTGGAGGAGCTGGAGAAGAAGGTTACCCTGGCGATGGAGGAGACAGAGGCACAGGAGAAACGAGCGCAGGAGGCAGAGGAGAAGGTCAAGGCACTGGAGAAACAAGGTCAGTTTCTAGGAGTATGACAAAGTTAGAAGCACACAGAAGAGCATGTTGCATGTTAGTAATATATCAATAATAGCTGCAGTGAAATGTGTGGACATGGTTTTGTGCTTGAAATTACCGGGTACCCCATATTGTGGTGGGACTGGTTGAAAGCAATCTATTACATGCAGTAGATAATTTGGGGTTGAAATTGTCCAAAATTGAGAAACTCTTCCTCTACTTCAATGTTTACTATACCACTTGTGTATTTTTGTTTATTCTCTAGTCAAAGAGCTGGAAGAGAAGCTGCTGCAGCCAATCCCTCCCCCTCCACCACCCCCTCTCCCCCCTCCCCCTCCTCCTCCTGTCAACCCCATCCGCAGTCTGATCAGCATCCTGGGACAGAGAGGCAACAAGAAGAAGCCTCAGGCCAAAGGAAAGGATGGCAAAGGTCAGTTTTTATTAACACTAAGAGAACACTAACTTAAAGGTGAATCCCTGCCTGTTATCCATCTTGTGTCATCCAAAAGTTCTTGAAACATCAATAAAGTTATGAAACAATAATAGAGCATAGTACTGATACATGTAGTTACAAAGAATGAGTACAATGTACAAGGACAAGTTCATGCAGCCACTATAACAGGTTTCAGTATAGAATAGTGCTGTCAAGTTTACACCAACAAGAACATTGTAACAGTTGTATATTGGAAAATGGGAGGTTAGATTTACAGAAATTATACTCTTCTAATCTCAAGAAGTTATTGTCATAATCTTAACTGATAGAGTGTGTAAGAGTTCTCTATCTTACCTATCTTTCTTTGTCCTTCTCTTAACTTTTGATGCTATTCCCAGACCAAGATGTACATCTGTTGTATCAGATGTAGATCTGTGTGTGATCCATTCCTTGTCTGCCCATTCCTGAACCTACTAACAGCCCTTCCTGAAACATTTATTTCATCACCTACTGCTGAATCAGGATCTGGGTCTGGGTCTGGATCCTCCACCCCTACCAGCACAGGTTTGTGTCCAAACTTCTGTGTCTGTGTGTCCCTTTTCATCCCTTACTGTGGCTTTGCAACTCTTGTTGTATAGCAGCTCAGGTTTACATTATGTGTATTACCAATAAATACAAAACCACAAATCATTGCAAGCATAGCTTATGCCAAGTGTGCAACAATTTGCAGTCCATTTGAGAAGAAGCTGTAGTTTGAAGCAAGGCTGCCAGGGGGAGTTCATTTTTTCAATGCGCTTGTATTTATTATAAGATACCTGAGAAGTGATAAGTCCCTGAATCATTCACAACTTTCCACAATTCGTCCTCCTTCTGTCCCATGCTGCCTGTCAGGATCACCTGTCAAGAAAGGTATGTACACCTGGTGCAGGTGCTTCACCTGCTGACATACCTGACTAGTCCAGTGCACCAAGTCTCACCAATAGTCATGGGTTTGATTCCCATTATAGGCATTCTGCTGCTGAATCTCTGACTCTGCTATCTTGTTTGATTCAGTCAATCCGAGAGATTATAGCCAAAAAGATGTGAGAGAGAACATCTCGTGCTGCAAAATTTGATTGAGCTAACATACTTGACATATGGCAGACATTTCCATGAAATATGTTAGAAATAACTTGAATTTCAAAGCCATGTCTAACCCACCACTGTCAGCCATTAACCATAAATCTGACCTGTGTCTGACCGCAGAACTGGACCCAAGGGAACTCGCCATGAGAGAAATGATGGACAGGATCAGGTCAGGGAAGGTCCAGCTTCGACCAACCAGACTGCCCGGAACATCTGGGGTAGGTCTTAAGTAAAATTATCAGCTTCTTTTGTGACTGAGTAGAAGCTGCTTTTCAAGTGATGTAGGATACTTTTAAAAACAGAATACCCACCAGGAGTTTCTTGTGCACTTGCAATGGATGTTTACAGTGCAAGTTCTTTTTAGGATGAAGAAGAGGAAGAGAAGGAAAACAAGGATTCAGCCATTAAAGAGATGACAAGTTTATTGGTAAGTCTTTAGCCTTTTTCTTGGTCATCTTATTTGTTGACTTTTGCGTAGATGTACATACAAACACATACCATCACCAACCATGGAATCAGTACACTTCTCTACGTCTTGGCTGATCTTTAAATTTCGAGGTTACTGCATTACAGATGCTAGACTGTTTACTTGACTTTACAATATCTTCTCCACTTTCTCTCCTGCATACCTGCAAGCAGAAAAGGGTATGTTACAGTCATCTTTGAAACAGTCCTTGTTGCTCTCTAGTTCACTTTGTAAATTTTATTGCCTTGCATGTACATGTATATCTCTATTTCATACCATTTTAATACCTGAGGTTGACTACTACAGTCACTGTGAAATGCACAAAATATACAGAAATGACAGGCTTCGTGTAATGTTCATTTATATGTACATGATGTGTTGGTTACAGTTCTGTCACTTCATGATTTCTTTCTTTCTTCATCTTGTTGACCCTGACAAATGTGTATTATTCTGTAATAAATCACTACAAAATCTTACAAGTTCAGCAGTTTTCATTAAACTGATGTAAAACTTGATGTTTGAATTTGCAGAGGACTATAAAAAAGACAGGCAGGCCACAGTCAGTTCATGAGGAAAATGAGCTGATGAAAACACTGCAGAGAAGGAGGCAAATCACAGACAGGACACAGGACCCAGCGCACAGGAAGATATCAGGTACATCCTCAAAACTGACAATTGCCAATCTTTCTTATGCCATACTTAAAGATAGACAATATAATTTTTTTTTCAATTTAAGATCCTTGTTATTCTGTATGTCTATTCTCTCATAAGACAATGAAAAGACATTTTATACATGTATTGTGATTGAACCCTGTAGGAATGCAGTAAAAGATGGTTATATACAATTCTCAGGAGGGTCATGGCAGTATTTGTCCACTTGAATTTGTACATGGTACTACTACATGTAGTATATCAAGTTAACTATTCATTTTACCGATCTCTTACAGAGCCAGTTCTCCCATCCCAGCGCTCTGTTGGAATCAGGCCTGAACCAATCGCAGAGGAGCAGGAGCCCGTTACACCGAAACCTGATGGTGTCTCTCCCAGCCTACCATCGCCAAAACCCATCCCGTCCCCACGCAAGAGCAAAGCTGTGAGTGGAAAGTCTTTCAGTACTGTGGACATGTTGCAATTATCTGTGATAGCATAGAAATTCAATTTTGTTTAGATCTGCATTGATGAAGGCATCAATCTTAAGCCATTGATGTCCATCTGTCATATATCCAAATTTGGGGCACACAGGGTTGAAAGATTTGTTTAAAGCTCAATTTCATCCCCTCGTCATCCGATCCCAATTCTATGACAAAAATCTTTCAAGTAACTCATGATGTTTGTCTCTCCTTCCTGTCCATCCTCTTCTTCCAGGTGAAACAGAAAGAGTGGCCCGTACAGGAGCAAGATGTTGACACCCCCACCAGCCCGGCAAACACCCCCCAGGGTGGGGACAGCACCCCCCTGGAGACAGGCGATGTACCTAAGGGTGGGGCTAAAGACAGCGAGGATGCAGCAAATGGTGCAGAGGGCCAAGATCAGGCAGAGGACAACCTGTATGAGCCTGTGGAATTCGGGGAGACAAACGCATGATGATGAAGAGATCACCCTGGCTTCCTAAGTATCATCATAACAATCCTACTGGGAACATTTCCCACAGAAAAATATTTTTGTGACAATTTCAGATTCTGTAAGACATGGTACAATTTCACACCATAAAATTACCTAAACGGTGAATGTTGTCCAGCACCCATTAGGATGGTGCTTACAGATTTCTAGTTATGCTGAGACAGACACTGGCAGTTTGGACTAAACCTAATTAACTTTTATGTCAAATATCTCTGCAACTGCCGGACATTTAAGTAATAACAGGTAGAAAAACACCATCACGTAGGACTTTACAATGACCAACAAGTTGAGATCTGACACTGAAGGTTAATTAGATTTTCCACATTACAAGTGGTGTCTTGACAAATTTAGTGACTGGTGGCAACTGTATCTTCAAAATCAAATACTTTGAAAAAGATGCCAAAATCAGTTTCTTTCTTCCATGCACCCCAAATGCAAACAAGTAACAAGAAATGCATATGTTGTTGATATGCCATCTCAATTACTGTACACAGCAACTGCTCTGGTGGTAATTAAGTACAAAATATGTAAGGGCAGATTTTTCATTCTGGTTTGGGAAAAATTCCTACCATGACTGTTACAGAAATTTTGGTATATCCACTTGCCAACATTTTTACCTGTAAAGATCATATTTTTGTGAGATGAGCAGACAAAATGTAATTTCCAGGGTTGCAAGATGTTAGAAACTAGACGGGATGGTCAGCACAGCAAAAATATGGGGTGTTCTTGGCTTGGTTGGGTAATAAGAAATCACAGTCTATATTTTGTATAATAAAAAAAAGGTAGTAGGCTTTGAAATACTTGGTGTATGTATAAAATTGGACCCATTTTAAGAATTAAATACAGTTCAATGAGATCATCAATTTTTTGTAAGAAGAGTATGAATATGCAACTTCATTTCTGCAATGAGACATGTATATAGCAATTTCTTACTTTCTGAAAACCAACTGAAAATATGACATTGCTGTTGTACTTCAGCTCCAGAATATTATAGAATTGTTTTATCAATGTTAGCTAATTTTTTGTAGAATTAGTATGTGGAAATGTGATTGGCCAGCTTTTAACTGTATAATTGTTGTAAAAAGGCACCAGTGCCATGTCATTGGCCAGGTTTTAATCAATTGTAGAACAGACATGAACATCTTTTAGGAAGATATCTATCATGAACTGTGAATGTGGAATCTTGACAGTGCCTTTGTCATGATCTTGTATAGTCTGAAACAGATCTTTTGTTGACCATTATTTGCCTCTACATTTCTGTGAAACATTCAACCATAAAACAGGATCATGTAGTTATGAATGTTTCCTTGTGGAATATCATAATCATATCTGTTCAAACATAGGGACATAGTGTGTCTACAAAATTCAACTACAGTATCTCTAGTTTATACAACATTCTAGAATTTATTAAGTGTGCCTGTGTGTTCTGCCATTTTTTCTAAATAATTAGTTTATGTGTAATGATGTAATTATGAAATTATTTTCATAATTGTTTCCAATTGTTACTTAATGCATTCAGACAGATAATCACTTCAAATGGCTATTTAGGATAAGTTTTGCAAGAAATTTATATGAAACTAGTGCTTTTTTTAGATGCAGAGCCAACTTTGCAGCACAGTTATGATAGTTTCACTGAGACTGCATGTAGCTCAGGGAATATTACTTGCCACAATTGTAGATGTCATAGAACTTGCCACCAGGAATAATAATTGTGCCTTCCAAAGTCTTTCCATGCAGAGAACTCATCAGAGACAAGTAAGCCCGTTCAACAGCTTTTGTTCTATTGAATGATAAAAATTATGAATATCAAACCGTACCAATCCTTGGCCAATCGGGAAATGCAATAGCTACTTAATTACCTTCTTCTATGCACCAAAGTTGTGCCACAACTTAAGACCAAACTTTCTTGGGGGACCATTAAATGTTGTGAATTATTAGTTATGATAAAATACTACAAGAAAACTCAATGTAATTTTAATTGACACAGGTGCCAGTGTATACATGTAAGCGAAAGTCAAAATTGATTTATCCATGATAAAATGAGGAAGGTTGTGAGTTGGTGTCATATCATATATGACTGTAACAAAATTTGGTTAATTTGTTTGGAAATATATGATTTTAGCGTGTTGCTTTCTTGCGTCTTGTATTAGGTGAATAAAAATGTTTCTGTACATTTCTCTCTTTTTGAGATGTCATTTGTTAGTTAGGTGATGTGGTTATAAAATCAGGCCATATAATATACCATTGTGCCATGAATTTGCTCTACACCCCTTTCATCACATGGACTCGTCTTTACTACATGTCAAAAATATTTGCACGAAAAACCACCATCTTGTTCTCCTTTTGGATAACCTCGAGGTTTAATAATTTACATGTTAGTTTTATAATTTGATATTAGTGCTTGAAGTTGATTTGTATTACCTATTTTGACTATTTTCATGTGTTTCTGCTTCTTACAACCTATTTTTACATCGTTAATTATTCTATATTGTTTCTTACAGACTACTGTCTGAGATGTACGTGTGATTTGTTGCACTTTTTCACAATATTTCTTTATAAGAATCTTTTCTTACTGGCTATAGAGAAGCTGTAGTAATTTCCTCAATATTGTCGAAAGGGGGTTTTGTTACATCGCAAAGGGTCGGAAAGTCCCTATAATATTTCTTTATAAGAATCTTTTCTTACTGGCTATAGAGAAGCTGTAGTAATTTCCTCAATATTGTCGAAAGGGGGTTTTGTTACATCGCAAAGGGTCGGAAAGTCCCCGGGACCAAATCTACAAGAAAGCATTTATGTCACCGCAAGCGTCTAAATCTGATTTTCTTTATCAAAGCAGGTAAAAGTTGGTTAAAGCACCGTGAGAAGGCGTCATCTGTAAGTAATTAAGTCACCATCCAATGTATGACTAACGAAATCTAATTCAACATCTTTTAAACTTTGATGTCACCTAATATTTTTAAAGCGAAGTCAGTCCCTCTGTAAAATTTAAAGTAGTTTTAATACATGTATAATCCATATTAGTTGCACAAAGTTTAATAGTAATTTCCGTTTCGCTACACTTTATCATGCTTTCATTTTTTTCGGATGACTCAGAAAATTACTTGTTTCATGCCCTTTTGTTGTTATGGTAAATAACATGCGCCAAAAATAGTTTTGAGATTTCGGTCCGACGTGATACTCATTTTAAATTGGGGTGACGCATTTGGTATCAGGACCCGTCGGACATCTTCATCATTACAATAGTCAAGACAACGGGGTGTGTCGACTCGCGCAGCTGCGTTCTGCATACTGTATGCGCAAAGTTTTAATCCTAACGAAAATTTTCAGGTTGTGTTTGAGAAGTGGTGTTTGGAAGAGGTGCACATATTGTGCTCAGAAGTTAAAATCTGAAATGAAATAAATAATTTGAAAACACGTACAAACAAAACCACCCCTGCATTCGTTTTTATGGTTTTCTCCAGCTTAAATTATGCAGGGAGAAGTTGTTGAACAGGTATGACGTCACAATATGTCGTTCCCCTCAGGACATCTCCACCTCACAAGCCGAGAGGAAGTGGTCTGCATGACACGACAGTAAAGAACGGAGAGCCAAACCCCGGGAAAAGCACCCCACCTTTCGGCGTGTATCCGCGGTTCGGACGCCCGCCGCCCGATGTTCACACACACGTTCGTGTCCAGTACGGTCAGCAGGGCTTCCAGCAGGGAGTACCTTCATCCCAATGACAGCAACAACGTCAACGGAATCTCCGGCTCATGTGAGTGTCCTTGTCTAGCTGGTCCCAGGTGTCATGTGACTTGGGCCAAGCTTCTAAACCACACATTCCTGCAATACAGAGATCCATAGGGACGTAAGGTCTGCAGACTGCGGCAGCGTCTGCAGATGAGCTAAGGTGACCATGGTCTTCCTCGGTGTTTGATGTGCCATGGGTGTTTGTCCAGGTGTGTCACTAAAACTCGCCTGAGACGTTTATTTTTTACCAGGCCTCCTTGTTAAAATGGCTGTGACCCTGTCGTGTCAGTTTGTGCCTTCCCATACAGAGAGTACTACGTGGGTTGTTTGTTAGAATATTGCACCCGACAACTGTTCTGATGAGTGAAATTTTGAGTACATTGTGATCACTTACAAACTGTTGATGCAGTCTGGTTGTTTTCTACTGCGTTGTTTAGTGGCAAACAGTAGAGAATAGCATCAAACCTTTGAACCAGACTTGGTACATCCACAAACAATTTGCAACTGTCACCAAAACATCTGTCTTTGAACTTAAGGGTAAAATTGGCGCAGCGATGGTGACTTGTTCGGCCACACGCCCCCTTGACCCCCTGACATCATCGCCACAATCTCGGCACGCGTCACGCCAATGATCACTTCCCAGAATCAGGATCTGTTCAGCACATGTCGTTGTACCAGTCTTCCACTATTTTTGTTCGTCTTTTATGTGTAATGGTTTATCCACTTTATCAGACAATGAGGGTCTCACATGTCCACGGTTACTTCTACCACATCATCGCGCAGAGAAAAGTCAGGACTGCTTTACCTTAATCCCAAACATCCTAAAAATGTAGATAGATAAGACTTTTCAACAAATGAATGACAGCAATCCTCCGGTCCAAATCTCATGGAGAATATAGTGTAAACAACATTGCGCTTGTGCAATGAAGGGCTATCCAGCAGCATAATGCAGATTACTGGGTCCATTCGTTAAAATTACATGGTTACGTAAAGCTAGGGATTACAACTAACCAGATACGTATTAGTATGTATGAAAGGTGAAGTTACATTAGTAAGTTATACGATAATACGTGTGTGCTGCAACTCGATATATAAAATAGCCCGTGCTAAACAATAGAACAGCAATTACGAGGAAAACATCAATAACACAGTTTCGTAAAAGTACAGAGTTTGAAACTGGATATGAAATAGCATTAATTCACAAAAAAACACAATGTTGAAACATGCAGCTAAAGGGCGATTTCGATTTCATGCTGGTAGCCTAAGAATCAGTACTTTGTACAGGGTCTCTTAGCTTAAAAATCAGACAAAATTAGCGACATTCATGGCATTCTTACATAAGAATTGCACTGACACACATCTCTTTGTATCATTTTGGGTATGCGCAGTTTGTTTGAAGTGTAAATAAAATAACTTTGTGGATATGCTTAATGGGACCTCACAGGGAACTGTACATACTGTACATACTGCACTAACGATGGGAATTCCGCTTTCCTTATTATGGGTTAAATAACGAGACAATAGTGTTGACAACAACACACTTCAGCATGAAAAGGTCACTGCGTGTGAAAGTCGTTCGGGTTCAGTGAACGTTCACAGACTTCCACAACAGAACTTATTTTTCAACAACAGGAAGATTTCCTCTTGGGGATTTCGTATTATCTACCGAGCTTTCCTATTGACAAGGAACCTTTACTGTCAGATTTTATTAAAGGTCGAAGCCCGAATCCGTACGCCTGTAACTACAGCCAATGGCAGCCTGGTCTCCTTTGGGGTCGACAAACGACAGGGCCATACCGCTTACTGATATGTCTATTATTATCTCTTTACCCTTATCACGTGATGTCGTCGTTAATTCTACTCTTGTCAAACTCGAGTCACCGATATCGATTATCTTTTTAGACTTTTTTTGCGAAGATAAAAAATGGGATATCTTCACGTTTCAATAGAGTTTGTGGGAGCGCACTGTCGAAATCGTGTGGTATCCGGCTTGATACAATGACTTCATTCTATATCTGAAACACGCCTTTAACCCACAAGAACCGTCCTTGAAATGGGGTGCAGTGACACGGAATTTAAATCTGTTTCTGTGACTCATATCATTGCAGTAAAGACTATCAAAGACTTTTTGTCGTGTTTAGTCTTTTTGACAATGAAATTTTGTATGATGACTTTCAGTTTTACAGTTACATCTACATCTCGGGCATTGTCCAGTCACTCCAAGATTTAGATCACATGTCAGATGTCGGTATGCAAGATCTATGTCATCAACCCCACCTACCTGTACCTTTGACCTGTGTGTGCAGGGTTTTGATGTGACGTAATCAGTCTCAAGAGGGCAACTTGAACAAACCTGTAACTTTACTCTTGTGCTGGACTTTGCCGAAAGAGAGAGTTATGATAAGACAGCTTGCTTCTTTGCATTGGTGTTTCTAGCAATGCCAATACATCTATATTATTTATAACTACATTTTATATCAATTGAACAATAGCCAGGGACCTACATGTTCGCTCTTTTAAATAAACCGTATCGATTTTAACGTTTATCTTTAGCGTTTATCTTTGAGACCGCTGTATTAACAGCAGACTTTCAAAGAAAGAGATCGATCCAAGGTGTGACAGTCAGAAGTAAAGGTTATAGTTTGTAAATAGTACATGACCTTTCGGGTCACTGCGCTTATCAATAGGTAACAAACCAGGGCTAAACCTGCCCTTCGGGGCACTGTTAAAGTCTACCTAATCGCACCGGAATGTGCAGAACGACATAGGCATCCCGGTACAGATCTGAATGTACATGTACACATTCTGACAATACTTAGTAATATACCGATAAGGTTCACTGATATTTAAAAAAAAGTCAAGAGGAAAGATGCGAGTTCCAAGCAAGATGAGTCGCTACGGAAAACGCTGCATACAGGGCTGTCATTAGCGCTAATGATCATTAGGAGTTTGTTCTGTCTGTCTAGCCGACAGTAGTGCGGTCGAACAGGGTGGAGAATCACAGACGCGGCACAAGCTGGGCAATCCCTGATCATTATCTCTCATTGTCAGATATAGATGATACTATGATACGTCTCAAGCATGGTGTTGTCTACTGACAAAATCAAAGAAGCAGTTGATAATTTTGCAAGACACAAGTATGCTTGCTTATTCAAACATCAATACGAAATTAAGCGGCAGTCTGACATTTATTGACTATGACATGCAATAAAAGATAAAGATTACATACATAAAGTACGATATAAGTATTTCATGAATAAACTAAAAACAAACAAGACTCCATCTTTAACTACTTCAGTGTGACACATGAATGCTTCAGGAACTTCAGTATGTTATCTGTTTTGACTTTAACTGGCATTTAACTTTTTCACAGACGAGAAACTTCCTAGCGAGAGCGGGACCCAGTCAGACTCGGCGTCCACAGGCTACAGCACGGGCAGCGTCACGTCCATGACCTCCATCTCACCCGTCCCCTCCCCGCAGGGCACCCTCACACGGCCCCGCAGACCCAGACCCAGGAGCGCCATGGCAGACAGCACGTTCAGGGGAGGTATGGGGATGGACGGATGGATGGATGGATGGACAGACGGATGGATGGATGGATGAATGAATGAATGAATGAATGAATGAATGAATGAATGAATGAATGAATGAATGAATGAATGAATGAATGAATGAATATAAAATTAATGAATACATGAAGGTTCTGGTTATTTGATTTGTTAATTGATGGCAAGAGCGGGCATCGAATGAGAGATTATGAGTTAGTGAAGAAGAGATGATCTACTAGCAGCAGAATGAAGTGAACAAGTGAAGGAATAGCAGAAATCATAGATGAGCAAGAGCAAGAACGGCAAAATAGACAAAATTAGATTACAGTACAGATGTCTACAGACTGTAGTTCGGTAAACTGGAGTAATGTTTTTCCACAGACAAGTCCCTCGATGGTTACCACAACGGACCCATCCCAGTTGACCTGATCGCTAAAGGTGAGAGCTTGGGGAAGAGGAGAATTGGTGGGGTGTGTCGGGTTTTAGTGACAGAAAAGGTCCCGATTCTTTTATCCGGCTAAACGACTAGCAGCAATGTAGCCGTGACGTTTTTACTGATCGAGCGAACGAAAGTCTAACATGCACAATATTCTAGCTCAAACATCAACACCACTTACTTGGACTGTGTTGCGAGAAATGTTAAGAAAAATGGAGAAGATTGCTTTTGTCCTCACTGTCAATACGTCTTTTTTGCAGCAGTTAAGGAGTTTGACTCCCTGAGATGGTGCTACGAACAGAACCAGAGACAGGTATGGGAGCTACGTGCCGACAGAGATACGTGTAATCTAGAGACAAACAGTACAGTACATGTGACAGTCGTCAGTGCCATCGCTATCCATGGCCGTCATTACTAACATCGTGTTACAGTTAACACAATCGTCGCCATCTTTATCATTGTCGGCAGTTCTCTCGACGTCATCATTTCCATCTTCTGTACTGTCGGCCACGTCATCATTTTGGTGACCTGTATCATCTTCCTTCTTATCTTGATCGTCATCAATTGTTAACTGCTAGTACTTAAAAAATGACAAGCAACGTCGTCCCATTACATGTAGCTTGTAACAGTTAAAGTAGATCGCACAAATGTAGTAGCAGTAGCACAATGAATTCGAAGATCACCAATAACGCAAATTGAAATGAAAAGTGTGATTTGACTGAATTTTTTGTGTCATTTTCCCCCATGTTTTGTATGTATGACGGTACCAATAATAATAAACGTATTTTTCCCTTGTCTTCTGTGTCTTTCGTGACCGCCAGTATATGGAAGTTGTGGGGAAGTTACAGGAAACTCAAACGGAGTTGAGCAAGTTAAAAAGAGGTAAAGTTATTTTTCGTTCATTGCTTTTTGTTGTTCTAAGATTGTGTATACCTGTGGATTGCGTATAATGGCCGTGAAGGTCGTTGTGCAGGAGTATTCCGAATTCGTGTGCCATGTCTGTCCATATCTGATTTTTGGCCCCAAACATTTACTCTTGGTGCTAGCTTATTGGTGGGTGGGTCATTTGAAGGCTTGTGTATGACTGTTTCTCTTTCCCAGCCTCGCGGTTCTTGGTGGATGACTACGAGACGATACAGACACAGCTGGAGGTGCAGGAGAGCTGCAGGATAGAGGCCGAGAGATACGCAGCAAAGGTCAGGGGTTGTTAACGTCAGCCAAAGGAGAAATGCAGTGATGGGCAAATTTTAGAGTATCTGAGGCCATAATAAGATAGATTATAACGACTATAGAGAAATGCTGCAACGTCCTCTGACCAGTATTTCGTACTAATACTGCGCAGGCACATTCGTTACGTTGTAGATCGTCGGATTTTCAAGCTGGCTGTGACAGAAGCAACAGCTGAAAATGGTCTATGACAGCCTTATCCATAACAAGAAAGCTGAATTTTGTGGGACATATGCACGACAATAATGACTTTGCTATTTGTACAACGAATGTGACCAGGCCCTTTCATATAGTTTTACAAATCGCACCATTGGCGCGCCCTGCTAATAAAAACCGGTCACCATGGTTTCCATGTATCATCTCCCCCCAACTTCTGCAGATGGTGCAGGAGAACAAGGTCCTGAAGCGAGTGAGCCAGGGCTTCCTGCTGGAGCACGGAGGGAAGGTGCCCATTAACGAGAACCGCAACGAGCCCACAGAAATCAGCCAACTCAACAGCCGGATATCTGGTGAGACCCCGAACTTTCTACAGTTATCTACGAGTATGGTATCTATGGTTATCTATGGTCAGAGCGGCGATCTTTTCACTCTGGTTGGTTTGTGTTGGTGGTTATCTAGTAATATGTAATATACCTGTCCTAGTAACAAGTAATATGTTTATAGTTTTCATTAGTCTTCGTAGAGAATATTTTGTGCCCTCGGAATTTTTTTTTATTGTGTCATTGTGGTGAAGTCGTCCAAGGTAATACCACCACTCGCGTTTCCAAAGTTATCACCAGATAGTCACCAGACCATCCTAGAGTATGAAAAGCTGTGACATCAATTGCAAGTAGTGAATACTTCAAGGTATTTCAAGATGTTTGTACTTATACTGTAAATAGTAAGGCCCTGGAGGAGGTTAATACTGCACTACTGACATAAAGCGGTCTTAGTCTGCTATCAAATCTCTGCAGAAATTACTTGACTTCGTATATAAATAGATATGTATGGTTCAGGTTACCACAGTTCATGAATGGCCAGGGACTCATATAGCTATGTATACCCTTGTGAAAACGTCTGTTTTTAGAAACAAGTTCTCGTATATGCTGTGGACACGCAAAAACAGGAACTTTTTTTTTTTACACAAAACCATTTTTTACACTGAATATATTCTTCAATCGTGCGAAACGTGAAAGTCTCGAAGCTTCGTTAGTAGTCTCGCATTTATTCCCTGGCCAATCAGAGAGCGCGGTTCTGCATAATGCCGCACATAGCAGATATGAATATGCTGAAGTAATAAGTCTGGTTTTCTGCAACACATTTGTGGACAAGAAAGGGCGTAGGCTAAAGAGAAGTAAGCGACATTGTGGAGTAAAATGGAGGGCAAGGATTTTCCGAAGTGGTTCTTCACGTCTATGTTTCGCACGCCGGAGTTGTACGTTTCCATCCAGAAGCTGGAGTATCACGAAGTCCACGTGACAGGTACAGGAGACATGGGTTCGTAGAGTTCTTGATATTTCCGAACAATAACCCAAATACATACGCACAGTTAAAGTTATCTATCTAATGGTGTAGTTCGGGGAAAACGGACAGATACAGTGTTTCTGATCACATTTGTTTGAATGAGAGTATCGGTGTGCTTGTATTGTGATGTCAGTTGAACAACACTGTAGGAATACCAGCTAGGGTCTGCCTGTTATACCAATCATTTGTTGTAGTTTCTGTCGTAGGACATGTAATTTCTGTGGACTCCGACACTGTAGGGAAAAAACCTAAATTTGCTTTCTGTGTACCTGTCATACATTGTAAGTGTATTGTTTCTAGCAAAAATATGATCTTGTGTTCTCTCACAAGTCATGGAAATCATTAAACACAGGGAATAATCAGGGAAAGGCAATTGCGTTAAATTGCGGAGCGCCTTGACAAGCAAGCTGTTGCACGAATAGCATACTATTATGTACAATTCATCCCCATCGCAAGATAAAAGCACATACGAGTATGTAATATGTGACATTGGAGGGACATTGCCTTGGTAACATGATCAGTCAGCTCCGAGTTGACATTTTCATCCGCTACCTGAAGTCCAAGATGTGCGCAAATGTTGCTAGTTATTATTAGCATGGCCGCCATTTTGGTATAGCTTCAAAATAACATTGTCGCATTTTATTCCAACGGATTGGCTATTTTGTACTTGTGCTAGGCAGTTCTACAACACTACATGAAAACATTCAATGTAGTTTGCACAGATGCTTGTGTCTGCCCTGGTCGTTATATCCTGAAGTATATCCTGATTTTCTGATCCTTTAAAGAGAGTTCTAACCCAGACTTCCTGCAAAAAGCCATATGTGGGCGTATTTTGTAATCCCGGCGCCATCATAGCAACAAGTAGATGATTGTTTTGCCGGTATGGCCTTGATATCATATGCAGAAACTGAATCGCACGTACAGCATCTGAATTCTTAGAATAGATACATATTGTATGAACTAAAAAGTTTTGGTTAAGACCCACTAGTGTTCCCTCCCACACATTGATAAAAACTTTCTACACAGCTTGGAACGAACAGGACAGAAGAGACATTAAAATTTCTAGAGGAAACATACATGATATTCTCTTAAAGATCGTTTTAGAGTGGTCCAATTTTCCGACGTCGTATTGCTGGTGGCGTAAAACGTTAAATCCACCCCTTTCCTTTCTTACGTAGGTCCTACTAAATATTACATTTTGTGGCCAGCAATTCATGGAAAGCCCCTGAGGCAAGATTGCTTTTCATTCTGGAGCGCGGTCAGGAAAGGTTACTGACCCTTTCCCACTGCTGAACCAAACATACATAGGCCTAGATTCAGATGCTCATGTGTTGAAATCTTATTTTCTCGTTTATTTGCAGCCCTAACCGCTATAGTAGGGAAGCTGCGCAGCGACTTAACGGTGGCCAACGACCGCGCACACTGCGCAGAAAAGGAAGCCAGAGAGTTCAAAGAAAAGGTAATTACGGACGTATGAAAGAACTTGGTTTTTACTAATAGTTTTAGGAAGTTCTCATTGAAGATTGCATAATCATCTTATCTAAGTGTGTGTTTACGTATTAAATGATTATATCTGAACATACCTACGTACAAAGTTAAGGTTAGAAAATGGGCATTTTCGTCTTGTCTATCTAGGTATCCTAGTACATGTAGGTCCCTTACTATTAACGCTAGAAGTTACCTGAAGAACCTAGAACCTAGCTGAAGTGATCACAGTCCCTAGAAAGTTACGATCTGTATTTGACCAAACTTTCTCCGTTGAATAAGACAGATGGGGTAGGTTTCTTCCCAAAAACACAAAGAGATGACACGACCAATGCCATGACAAGACGGCACCTATTTCGTATCGCATTTTATAAAAAGTTACGAGCGCCGGTAACATTTCCATTCAAAAGTTTATATAGCTTCCTTGCACATTTCTTTTATGTAACTTTTTCTTTTCCCTGTCCCACATTTTCCTCTTGCTTTTCCCACGTCATCAGTTTCCGTTGACGCACGGTTAGCAATTTAATTTCACTGCATGTTTCACTTTGAATAATGCATGCTTTATCCCACATTTTCCCTTTCGCTGCTCTCAGCATCGTTTCCCAACCCTGGTAAGTTTCACTACCAAAAAGTCAGTAGTACAAAATCACGCGGAGACACCATGCAAACATATAACGGATCCGTCAATTATTTACCGAATTGGATCAATCTGCAGGAGGTACTGTTGTGGTACTGTTCCAACTTAAACAACTTACGAACACAGAAACCGATGTGTTCTAATTTTTACAAAGATGCTTTGGTCAATTTCAGTAGTATGCGGGCGATTTTGGTAATATCTCCGTCGTTTCTGACAAAACGCACCGACGGGAAATTGGTCGATTAGAGGAAAGTAGTGATTCAGTACTTCACTTAATTCACGTTTGTAACAATTATGAGAATGAAATTCAGTTGGGCCAACTGGAAATCTGGATACACCTTCATTATTTACCGATTTTTGCCATCTATGTGCCGAGAAATGAGTTTAGTGGAGACCGGCGAAACTGGTCCTCCAGACGCGGGCGGTTTCAGCACCAAGGACATCACCTGACCACCATTACAAATATAAGGCGGGAATAATCCAGGCGTTCGTTGGTCCAAAGAACTTACTATGTGAACATATTTATAATTAGTCCTTATGAACGTCTGTATGGGCGTTATGGTTGGTGCAGCTACCCCGATGAGCGCATTTGTTTCTCAACATTTGGGCACTTTCTGCTAACAAAATATCTAGTGCAGATGTCTAACCAAAACTCAGGTCGCGTGCACGTCTAGTACTCCTAGTATTCCTTGAACATCCACCTTACCAGTACTAGTTGTAATATTTCATAAGTGTGCGTGAAGTTGATTTTGATGTCATTTTGCAGTATCAAGAAGAACGGGCGGAACACGATGAGGCAAAAATACGGGTGTCATCCTTGGAAGAGGTAGTCAAGAAATTCAAGCGGGGTAAGTGCGACTCTGTCACACGAACAACGCCCTTACTCTGTCTGTTGCTCAGAATATTTTACTGTAGATTGCTGCTATTCTAGAAATATTCCAATTTGAAGAAATATTCTGTACTTAACAGAAACTCCAAAACTCGATATTTCATTAAGTATTCGATCTCACGTAAATGAGAGTCTGTAGTTAAAAGGGTAGCTTACCTTTCAATAACCGACAAACTATAGAGGTTACGTGAACTATGACTGTTCTGTAAGTGTTTTTTTTTCATCCTGACATCCACAGTGTCCACCATGGTTGTTGAGGAGTATGAGGATCTGCAGCAGACACTGGAGGTGGAGAAGGGCTGCAGGATACAGGCGGAGGACTATGCCTACAAGGTGAGAGAGGGAAGAAATGAATGGGAGAGGAGCTAAGCAGAAGGAGTCATGAAAGGATAATGAGGAGAAATGAGGGATGTTGTAATTGCTTACAGTATGATCTATGGACAATCATTTTGTTTTCCAAATGTTGTTTTTATTGTTATATTTTATGTACAGGATATAGTCTTGAAAATTCTTTTGTCCATCTACTCTTAAGCTTGATACAAACGTCTGCCCTTCACAGATTCGCAAGGAGAGAAATGCCCTGCGACACAAGAGTGCCATTTTGGAAGGTGGAGTGACCATGGATGACCGGCTGATAACTGCGCTGGACAGAGTGGACTCTCTGAGTAAAACACTGGAGCAAGAAAGGCACCAGTTCAAACAGAAGGTAGGAATTACAATGCAATCTGGACAATTAGTCTTTGCTTGTAAATACCAAATAGTTGCCTTCCCATCTTTTTCAAAACTGTTATGCCTTTTCCTACCACTGCATGTACTTGCAGTGGCTCCTAACACCATTTCTTTCTTGCATGTCTTACTCTCATCAGCATTAGCACTCTGAAAACATTTTTTTTGGCTTACATGAATTGTTTTTAATCTGCTTCTGTCCATCTACATGTATAACCCATGTCACCTTGCACCACCTAATTCAGATACGTCGCCTAGAGGAGGAACTAACAGATGTGGAACGTGTTGAAAAGGTGGGGATATGGCTGTGTAATGGTGTTTTGTACCAAAGTCATCTAACTTTATGCTGCCTTAAGTGCCTGTCACAAATTTTGTGTAACACATTTGTTCTAAGTATCAATAAGTCCTGGTTGCATGAAAAATAATAGTTTTGACCATTTCATAGCATGGTATATCCCCACTCTTTAAAATGTAATGGGTTTTAAATATGATTCTTCTTAAGAAATATCATTCACTACTCACTAACAGTATCACTAACAGTATCAGTAACTCACTAACACTTCAGAAGGATGACAAACAGGATTTGGAACACCAATGGATGGCAAGGGGTTGATCTTATGATTCAGAGATGACTGTCATGAGACCACAGTATGCCACTAGACATGTGTATGAGTGCTCAGTTTTCCTGACCGGTGTGTTTTCCTGTGACAGGTCCGTACATTAGAGGAGCAGCTGGAGAAGTCAGGTGACACAGGGAAGGTGGACAGATTACAGACCAGCGTCGTCATGGCAACAGAAGAATCCAGCCAGATGGAGAGAAGAGCGAGTGAAGCCGAGTCCAAGGTCAAGGAGCTGGAGAGGGAAGTTGAAGAGTTGAAGAAGAAGCTGGCAGCACCTCCTGCAGCACCACCCCCTCCACCACCACCACCCCCACCACCACCACCCCCTCCCCCTCCACCTCCTAACCCCATGAAGATGTTTGGCAACATCCTTGGCAAGAAGAGGCCAGCAGGGCTGCCTAAGAAGGGTTGGTGTCATGTTGGTCTGACGTGTAGATATCATATGAGATTCTGTGGTTTCAGGAGATGTCCATTGTGTAATCTGAGACTTTCTCTTTCATGATAACTCACTGTACCTCTTAAGCAGGTTTCCCCCATACTAACACCCTATCTCTGAAAGAACTAACTACCGGGTACTGAAGTTAACCTGAGTCTAACAACAATCCTGTCAATATTATAAATCTCAGTTTTCAGGTTTTGACACAGGAATCTTACAGCTAACTTTCCATAACTGTTTCCTCCCAGATGACCCTCGTAATGCAGCCATGGCGGAGATGATGGAGAGGATCAAGAAGGGAAACATCGCCCTGCGCAAGACTGGCCTCATCCAGAAGGACAAGCCCACAGCCATTGTTGATCTACAGAGCATGCTGGTAAGTACAAATGTACTAGGCTGTGCCTAAAGGCATGTTTCACTATGATTATATTAGAGGCACACAGCCCAATTTTTTGCATGATTGATAACTTAAATTCTATTCTCCCCACAGAAAAAGACAACACCCCGTAGACGGCCGAGCAAACTGTTCACAATAGATGAAAACATGGACGAAGCCACCAAACAGTTCATGAACACCATGAGCAGGAGAAGAGCATTGACAGGTTTGTTCTCATGACCATGATCAAATGTTTAATTTTTTTGATAACGGAGGATAACATTTCAGTCTTACTCTCTCCATGCTGATTCCTGCTATGTAACCAAACATGTTTCATTGATATGCCCTTAGCTGAAAGAGAGTTAAGATTGAAACCTGATTGCTTTATGTGTTACTGCAGACAAACAAACTGGTGGGAAGCAGAAGAATGGTGAGGACAAGACACAATCAAGGTAAGAGAAACTTACATTCTGTATAGAGTTCACACAACCAATAGGGGCACTGCTCTGCAACTCTGGCATGCTTTTAGTGTTTTTACTTCCTTTGTTGGAAGACTTAGCAGTTGATATTGTGAGCATTGTATTATGTATCACTCTCATTTGTTTTTGCTTTATATAAGCAAGCTCCTTGATATTTAGTCTAATACAGACTAACACATTTGTTTTTGCTTTTAATAGCTGGTTATTATTACAGTAAAGGTTAAGTTTTTAGCATTTGCTTTCTAAGACATGCATGACTGTAATTGCACAGCTTGTTGCTGTTCTGCTGCTTTGCTTGCTGCTTGCTCACTTATGCCTTCCACATTTTAGTTCAGCAGCTCTGGCCAAGTCACGCTTCTGACACTATTAAAAGAATGTAGATGGTGAGCCAACACTTTGCTGCTTATATTATTTGCACATTGTAGTTTCTAATACTGGCAATTGCTTTTGCTTGCTTCCAAATATTTTGAATCTTAATTAACATTTTTAATATTCTTAGATCTGCAGTAACTGCATATTGATACAAAATTAGATCTATTACTTTGGCACTATCAAGATTTCAGGTATAGTACATGTCCGCGTAGTCTCCATTGAATATAACTTATACCTATGAATTTGATGGGAAATTTTGTGTCTTTGTCTTTCAGTGACAGTGAGGGAGTGCGTCGTACAAATTCAAATACCAGGGGCAACCTTCATGACTTTGTGGACAGTTTTAAACCTAGATAATGGAACTGCCAATGACGATGCTGACACAGCTGCTTCAATAATATAGTGCAGTTCTGTGCTGTGCTGGACATGTAGGGTTTTTGCCCCAACATTACATGACATGTCCTGCAAAGATCATGCAGTGCAGTTTTGATGGCATTTCTTGTCAAATTTGACTATTATTGCCAATATTATAGCATCTAAGAGGCACTACAACGAAGCCATCATCCAGGGACAAGCAGTGGCCAGTGCAAACCTTGGTGCAGTCTGTACCAATATTTTTGCTCCCTCCTTCAATGATTTTTGTTGAATTTCTTGTGACTTACTTACATCAACTGAGTCCTTCCTGCTTAAAGCGCTCATTAAAAAAAAGCCCATTTCAGTTCCCTAATAGTCACTGGGAAAACATGAAATATCTGTTCCAGTGGAGGGAATGAGGATTCATTATCTAATATAGCAGAACCAGTCCTAGCTAGTTTGAATGCTGTAAATTTATAATTGCCTGTATTATTATGTATAATTTGGAATGAATTTAATAATAAGTATTATTGACTTAGTGCAATAGCTTCTAGACTATTTTAGAGGATACAAAAACTATGATGGGGAAAAGTGTGCCATTAATTTTTAAAAGATGCATGTTTTCTGGTAAATCCCAATTCATGTATGATATTTAAGGCCACATGTAAAATCCTAGAAATGGCATTGGCTAACAATGGAGACATAATACTTGCTGCTTTTAAATAATTGTTAAGAGTAAAGAGTGAGTGAGTGAAAGAGTATACAGTGTAGTCAATAAGCAAAACTTCCAAGTTCATCAAATTTATTTTGGTTTTACAATATTTAGTCAATGGTGAAAGAGTTGACTGCAGAGTTGTCAGAATAGCACAAACAGAATTATCAGATGTTTCTGTTGGATTTTTCTCACAGAGAAAAAATTCAATCAAAAATGGTCACTGGTTGTTTTTAAGCAGCAAAGGTGCAGTATGATATATAGAGTTGACATGCAAAGGGCTTTATCTCAGACTTTTTAAGTGTCTTATGTACAAAATCATCTATTACTTATTGGGTAAAACTTAAATTTGGAATGATGCAGATGTAGGCCCAAAACATCTGCTTGGTAGCCAATATCCTTGGCAAAAAGCTTTTTGGAGAAAAAAAAATAATTTTGATGATCATTACCTTGCTGTAAATATATAGATGTGTAAAGTATATCACAAAATTGTATATACATCAGGTTCCACTCTAAGGAAAATCATGATAACTAATCATAGCTTGCTATCCAGAGTAAAATTTGTCGCTGTAACAGTCAACTTCCTATTTATTTTCAAGTCTTGTTTGTACGAAGCACAGAGGTTCATATCTGCATAGAATACCACACTTACAGATTGAAATGATTGACATATCGAACCAGGTAGAGAGCCAGCCCAATATTGGCTAAAGGAACACTAAAGTCAGGAGGAGGCTGTTACTTTGTGATAGAAAATAACCCACCCCTTCCCCATGTTAGTGCTCCTTTCAGGGTAGCTGTATGTGTCCTGGTTTACCACTTTCTCACCAGAAACAGCTGCAGGGTAGATCGACAGTTATATAACACTTTCTTTTCTGGGGTCACCAGGTGATTACAAAAGAGTCTGTGACCTATATTGCTATTTCTGTATGTTTGTTATGAAATATGTCCAATATTTGTCTGGTATCGGATACATGTATGTCTACAAGCATATGGCTGGTACTGACAAACCTGCTCTGTGAAAAGTCTCAAGGCGTAATTTGCCAGTGCCTGCAAAATGAGAGTCCTGTGACCATGGGGTTGAGTGAAGTACACTGATTCAAAAGTGGAGTATGCATTACAAATTGATACTTCATCAGTGGAGCAGTACCAGAAATTATGTCAGAGTGAATTACCCTGCTGTTCTATTAGGAGCTAATAGACGTAACCTGTTAAAGTTTCAATTGTAAAACGTCCTTGAGCTGATATAGCAGATTGACAGTCTGTTGTTAGCTGGTATGAACCTGGATGTTATGTTATATCTAAAGACGACAGGATGTTTTAGTCCTCAGAAGTGCTGTAGATCCTTTCAACATGTGTGCCATACTTTGCAAAGGAAGAGGGAATTAGCATTTCTTTGTTCTCTGAAGGCATTTGAGCCTATATCCCATCTACATCCCTTTTTCCTAGTAGGTCTTCAGTTTGCATGTGACTTGGGTTTCCAGTGATAGACATCAAATTTGTTCATCTGCGTCTCCTCTTTTCTTCTGAAAAATCTAAAAGCAGTGTGGTTTTGAGTACTCCATCCACATATTTTTGCAAGGGAGGTCAAAGTTACAAGATTTTCTCAGTGTCATATAGTAGTGTTCTTGCATTATGAACCCAGTGCAGTGTTTTGTATCTATACTGCTTATTGTACCAAGTCTATTATACATGTATCTGTGTACTACATGTTGATGTGTTGGTGGGCTTTGTGAGTCCAAATGGTCTGGAGCTGTAATAAAGGAGAGTGACTTTGATCTGTGAGTGTGTGAGATTGTTAGTTTGTGCTATTTGTGACATTAACAGGGTAATGCAAAAAAGTTGTGGATTTTTCTTACTTTTTGCCTGTGCCAGTAAGTCTGAAAACATTACCATACACCAAACAGTGAAAATTTCATCCTTAAGCAGTATCTAAAAATATTCAAAACAATATCAATTGTACACCATATCAGTATTTCCATAGCTGTCAATTTTACTAGAGAATATTTCACAAGTGTTACAAATTCACTAAAGCAATCCAACCCATACTTTTGAACATACATGTACATGTACAATGTAGTCTAACAATTCAATGTAATTCAGAGGCACCAGCAACAAGTACATGACTGTGCATTTCTACAAGCTATACTAAGATCCACTTTCCTCCGATTGGGCATATATACAGATTTTATATTTTAGTGTATTTTCAAATTTAAAGTACACTATTGTGTGTTGTTAAGTATCAAATATGTTTTGATGATCCTTCCAGGAATTGCTTCCTGATCTAAAAGATAACATTTCTTTCTCAGTTGCAAGTCCCAAGGCACGTTGAAGTAGCCTGTATAATGAGCAATCCCATGTTTCTGTTGTAACCAACCACACTATTCAAGTTTGGCATCCATGTACCTGATTCTGTGCATTGGTCACTGTAAACTAAATGACTTGTATGTGTGACAATAAATGATGACAGTGAAGGACAATAAAGCTCAGGTAGCAGCCTCGCCCTCCGGCTCCTCAGGTGGGGGAGGGGGGAGGATGTTGGGGAACCTGTGCTCCTCCTGAGGTGTCAGTTTGTCCTGATCTGCCAGCTGTGCCTCGATCTGAGCCAGTCGGTTGTACTTGGCCACTCTCTCCCCCCTCCCCAGCCCTCCAAACTTGGCAAACTTCACCTCCAGTCCAACAGCCTGCAATAAAAGGAAAGGAAGAAACTGGATCAATTTAGCAAAATGACATTCTGTACTCCCAGACTGCCATATGGTCATGAACAATTCTTCAGACTGCAAATGATGAAAACTAAAATGTGTTAATGTGCATTGTACAATCTATATTCTATACTATACAATAGTATGCAATATATACTGTACAATATAAACAAGGAGCTTCTATTGAAGAAAACCTACAAAAACCTGATGTTCTTTTCTTTTAGCCAGGAACAATTCTTTTTGCCTGTCTTACCAGATCTGCCAGTGTAGTGTCAGCTGTGTCACCTTGACAGGCAGCCAGCACCACCTCACTACCACCATCTGTACAGGGCAATACAGCACGTGGAGGTCAGTAGTAATACATCAACAGTACTGGTAGCAATTTGTTCATTTTAGTGGGTGATGCAAAAGGTACCGGTATTAAAAAAAACAACTCCTATATTGCTTTTTGATAATTGCCACTTTTTAAAATATTAATGAAAGATACTGACCTACGACAAGTTTGGCAGCATCCATGACATCGCTGACAGTGGTGAGGCTGTGTAAGGAGAAGACTGCTGCACTGCTCCTGGTCTCCTCCATGCCCTGCACCAGGAACTTCTCAGTCCGTGGGCACACCTGGTCACCCATCAGGTAACACTTCTCACTCACTGCCTCTGTCAGTTTCACCCACGCTGTCTTCTCCTGGGTAGGAAAAAAGGGTAATAGGACTTATTTCCAAGATCATCATTATCATATCTTGTCATGCCAGATTCCAAGATGAGCAGCAACTGGCTGGGATTGAAACATCCGACCATCTTGTCCAGAAGCAGGGTCACTAACCACTACACCACGATGCTACTCAAGTGGCGTAACCCTTGATATGCACTAGGCAAAGTCATTGTCAGCAACTAAACTTTATTCTTGAGGTATGAAGAATTGGGGCATTATGCTAATTTTTAGTTTACCATAATGTGTGATTCAGAATAAGATGGTCTTGTTCTTAGTAGTGCCAATGGTATTGCTGTTGTCACTAAAATCACCTGAGAGGTTGATATATATACATTTGTACATCTTTATCACTATGTGCTAATTATAAATATGCATCGCTGAGTCATAAGTAATAAAATCCTAGATCTGAACAACTGATGGATGCTACCCCAAACACCATTAAGCACTTGGAGATAAAGGACCACGGAGGAGACGTCCACTAATAGACTCTCCCAAATACTTACCATAAACCAGTGGTATTGTCCAGTGTGGGGGTGTACGGGTGTCTTATTACTGACACTTTACAGTGTAGGACAATACGTGATGACAACTGTCCCCTCCACCTATAGTGGGAGGATCCAGGTAGTTCCCACGGGAAAAGAAACTCTAAATGGGTCAGATGAGTGCTGATTTTGTGCACCTGGTCTTTCCTTGTTATTGTTGGACATTGCTGGGAACATTTTGAGAACTGCCCAGCCTTCCATGTCTAGTGTTACAGTACAAGCAGGGTGTTAACATGGGGACAAGTGACAGGTAACATAGCCAGGCTATTAACCCTGATGTTAGATTACAGCACTGATAACCTCCATGTACCCTATATAAGGCTGTACAATCTTGATTCTGTGGCTGATATCCAAGCATACATTAATTGCACTTGATTTTACCTGTTTCCTTTCTTTAAGAGGAAATTTTACTGGTCTTGCATTGACAGATGGACAATGTAGGACTGCAAATGGAGAACTTGCAGCACTGAGCCCTTCATAAAAGTAATGGCAGACCAGACAATGTGTCATAGTTGCATGGAAAAAATAAACATAAAGAGAAGCATCCAAAATTTTTGCCTACACATCATCACACGTACCTGCTTCCTGAGGGGGTCGATGAGTGCAATGACACCCGGGTAGCGGGTCAGGATGTCATTGTAGAAGTCCACCATATCGTCAGGGGTCTTCTGAGTTCCAGTCATCACCTCATACTTGCCCTTTTCCTACATGCCAATTAAGATGTTAGGAATTGTGCAACAATCTTGAAGCTGTGGAACAAATGATATTGATGAATCATAACAAATGGCTACTTTTGACGCCCACAAAGATGCTTTTGCAGATTGAAAACAATGAAACATCAGATGCCTATAGCAGCGGAATTCCTCACCAAGCACTCTAAGGATGAAAGTTAGCAGTTTTTCTTGACTCAAGAAAAGTGCTTGGTGAGGAATTCTTGAGCCTGAGAGTGTTTAGATTTATCTCACCATATGTCAAGCATGCACTTACCCTCCCCACCATCAGGAACCTGGCATCCTTAGTGGCAGTGGTGATGGTGGAAAGCAAATTTTTCATCACCTATAATATTCTTATCATGATATCATTGGTCTGCTTTTGTCCCATATCACATTGCTAGGTCACTATTTACTACAAGGATACATATAGCAACACATTTAATAGCCCACTCTATGGAATCTTGCAATATCCTCAATTGCGAGGTAAATTGAATCAACAGGTGGTTGTGAAAGACAATGAATGAAAACTGCCTGATCTGACAGGCTGTTTAAAGATCACAATGGAAGAGGGCTCAATTTTTCCCTTTCTCCCTGCACATGTTTTAACCTTTTCCCTGATGAAGGCCTAGTAATACATCTCAATTTCTACAGCTTGCAGTGGAGGTTAGCAGGAGGGGTGAACTAGTTTTATATTGTGACCTCACCAGTTCGAACATCTCGTGTGCAGCACAGTTGATGGCCATGTGGACATCCTCGCCCGCCTGCAGCTCCAGCGCAGCCAGCGCCTCCTGCACCAGGTCCAGCGGCTGTTCCAGCTTGTCATACTGCGGGCAGTACGCACCCAGGTCTGTCGTGTTCCTCGCTGTCGGCTGGGGGGGGGGGCAGCATGGGATTACAAAAACGTTTTATACCATTTTCACACCGGATGGAGTTAAATGTTTCCTCAAAGGGAGTATAAACTTTCCTATTGCTGTTTTATACTGGTTTGTAGGGCATTTTTTGGTTGGCTATACCCAATATTTAGCCTGTTCAGAGGGATCTCTTTCCAAGACTCAAAGGCAGAAGTATCCATGACAGATATGCAGACACCTGTAGTTGATGGACCAGGTGCTACATGTAAGTGACTGTGACTAATGCTACTCTAGCAGCCATTTCTCAGAACAGGTGAATGGTTTATGCCTTCAGGATGGATTTCACTAACTATTGCTTAGTTGCTGGAACACCTGTCGAGGAAAAATGTCGTCTGGAGTAAGATATTCCCAAAGGAGTAATGGCGATAATGTACATAACAGAACTACTGACACCCATCCTTGTTGCTGTTAGAGATTGTTACATGGTTGTTGTAGGAGCTTCAGCGTGTATGACTTCTCAGTCATTTCTTCGAACAGTCCAGGATGTTCTTACGCCTCATTTCCAAGGAATTGTGTTTTCTTAAATCAGGTGTTTATTGGGTTCTAATGACCCAACAAAAGGTGACTGCCCATAAGTTTAATGATGGATGACAATAAACAACCTTTTTGTGTAAGGAGTTGCTTGAAGTTCATACTTATCACCTAAAAAGCATCCTTTAATGTTATTCCAAATAATGACACCCTTTTTTAAAACTTTATTGTTTTGCAAGGCCTAGTGCCGACACTTTGTTTTAGTGCAGATTAATTTGGTGTTACTCTAACACATCCGCTTCCTCTAAATCATATTTGCTTTGTCCCCTGCTGTTTTGCTTTCTTACCAAACGTGTGTCCGGCACACGAAGGAGACGTTTTCCTGTTTAGATTTGGTTGGATTGAAGACAAAGCAAAACTGTATTCCTCCCATGACTCACTGTCAACAACGTTCAAAGTACTGCTGTAACATGAAAATACATCCGGAGCACTAGGGTAGGGCAGGAAGGCATCATGCAGGTACTTTACAGCTTGAATTGTGCAATTGTCCTCAGTAGGAAGTTTTATATTTCAGGTAAAATACTGACTGCATCAACATCCTACAGCATTGGTGAAAAACTAAAATAATACAGATTAGGAAATGTACTAGGCTTTTTACTCTGTTGCATGTTCTCCTTCTCTATAAATCAAGTTAAAACCTTTTCCAACTTGCTTCTTTTTTTTCTATGTCCAGTATATTAATCTAGTATCATGACCATATGTTACCTTGCCGGCACACTTTTCATGTAGCAAATAGTGAAGAAAAACATGCGACATAAAGTGTGATTTCCTGGCTATTGAGCATCGACCAGCCTGGCTGACAGGTAGGCAGTGTTTGAGTCCTACCTAGGGTAACCTGATAGTCTACTGCGGTAGGCACAAACAATGCTTACGTAAACATACACACAAAACCTGCCATGGGCATTGTGGCGACGCTCGCACTGTCAAAACTTTCAAACAGAAGTATTGGTCACGAGGCGTGTGCCTGATGTGAACGTCGTCCGGAGTTGTACAGACCTCCTACAGTGACTGAACGCTCTTTACTGTTATTGTTGATATCATCCTTAAGAGAAAAAAAGGCTGCTCTTTTTTTCATGGCCACCTGCTGACACCTTTACCCCTTCACTGTTTTCAAAGCCGCCGGTGTAACAAAATGGAGGTGAACTTTTCCTGACCTGAACTTCATACTGTAGACCCATTAGGGTGCACGTTCCCTCTCATTCCTGCAGTATTGAGTTTCGCTCTCACATATCTAGCTACGCCGATACTGTTAAAGTTTCTGTCCGTCGGAAGGCTCAGTCAAGGATTATTATCCTTTGAGGACGTTGACTGGTCAGGGTTGTCATGAAAAAACACAAGTCGCAGCCAGGCAAGGCTAAACAGTTACTTTTCTGGCGACGCCCGACTGGCGACCAACACGTGGCTACCTCTATGCCATGCAAGCTTGTCCGCAGCTTCCTAGAAGCCTTGGGGTAGTTACATAATGACTTCTATAGCAGTGGAATTTTTTTCCCTGTACATTCTCCAATTAGATTCTACTTTTTTCGTCTGATGCTCCGTTCAACTCGTTTACATGAAATTACATATGATATTATGTAAAAGTCTAGTACCATAAAAAAGAATTTTGCAAAAAAAATATCCAGTATCGATATTGCATTGATGACCGTTAGACATCCAGGTAATTAAGGTACGCCAAAAAAACAATTACTCAAGCACCTGGATATGATTTTGGTAACGGTCAGACGTTTCAGGTACTAGTACTAAGTAGCATCCACTACCTTTCGTCAGTGGCACTAAGAGACTGCAATTCTCCTGCAGTCTTGAAGTGTCATTGGCATATGTAACACTTCATTGAACGTCCAATACTAATATGTATGCTTCTGCCTCACTTTGTCTAATGAACATTATCACATTCCAAAAAACACAAGGACAGGCAACAAGCAAAACTAAAACTTTCTTTGAAGAAATATGTAACAACTTTTTTTTGAACAGACATTCCTTATTGTAATAGTACACATCCTGATGACAATTGAGATCAGTTGCTCTTTCTCATGATGACATCTTCTGGGAAGTGTATTGCTATATTGGTCCTGACCTGTTTTGTGCCCATGTCTGTCATCACTGATCTACCGGTTCTTTCTGTACCAGTGCCCCATTGAAACCTACAATAACCTCTTCTTTGTAAGGTTACAATAACAAATATACCATCACGTACCATATTGTGGTATTGCTACAAATGGCTAGGTTTCTCTGCATGGGGCAGAAAAGACCATGTCAAGCAATGTTACCAGAGAAACTACCACACAATAAATAGAAACTGTCCAACCATGTTTTCCTCTTGCCCCTGCCAGATTCTTGAGGACCGCAATGGAGATGGATTGATAAAAGTACAAGAGCGTAAAGAAATTGTAATAAAAGGTAGCACTTAGGACATTTGAGAACAAGTGTAATTTGTAAGGACTCACATCTATGCTGACTTTCATTCGCATTGACCCAGAGGATGTGTCAAGGGGCAGACGTTATCGCTACTTGCTTTGGCATAATGTCGTCATAGCAACGGGTTGTGCTGCAAACCGTACCGTTCCCAGCTTTAACATGCACCTGCTGGACATTGTGTCGCCCAAACAATCATCAACAAAAGCTGACAGGCGCAAAAGAAACGGCTGCCACCGTTGGCTACTGGATAACAAATGGCACAGGGGGAACCCAAACCTCCTGGGAAGCCCAACTTTCAAACAATCACAGCGATAATGTGTCCACTTGAAAAGCCACTATCTTTCATCATCAGTAAATAGCCAATAATTCATGGGTATTATTTCTTCATGAGAGCTTCTCGAGGAGAATTTCTTTCTCCCCATTTTCCATCAAAGGGTTAAGGTTTCTCTCTGTAAAACCTGACAGAGCAGAAATGATACTAGGTAAATACCAGGCACAAAGGAAAACTCAGCAGCGGTGTAAAACATGGCGGACTGGCCACTTGAAAGTTAGAAACAACACAATGATTTGATCTCTATCTCAAGATGCGAGAACCCCTAAAGACTCTGTAAGCATGGAAAAGTGTGTAGAACATTGCATTCCTTTGGAGATGAGCCAGTGCCAAGGCCATTGGCCCCACATTTCTGTCTCCAGCAGGTTCTATGCAAACATTGCACTGATTGGCTAAGCTCTTAATGACATCTTCAAGCAGGAAGCTGATTGGTCGACATGTGGATCTCACCAATGGAGCAGGATACCCATTTGTTTTATGCAAATGAGGAGGTGGGCACACATAAAAATCTGGGGTTCAGAGACAGGTTCGTGAGTGCTCCTTACGACTTCAACAAGGAAACTTCCCTCTCCAGTCTGGTGAGACATTGCCCAGTAAAGCGAGCCTGGTATAGCGACAGGGATCTTACATCAAGACTCAGGTAGGTTAGAAATATCAACCACCCCTCGTCTTTCTGCTAGGAAAGTTTCATAGCTAGTTTTACTTACAACATTAAGCATGCCTTTTTAAAAGCTGCTAACTGTGATCAATCAATTTTCTTGTCAACAACATGCACAAACACTGAGAAAAGTCCTGTATTTTTTTCAGAGGACACACGACACCACAGTTGGTAACTGAAAGTTTAACCTCCAGAAGAAAAAGGTAGGAATTGAACTGTGATATATTTTTACATTTACTCTGTACTCTGTACTCAACAGCCAAACTATACCAAGAACATTGACACAATGAAATAGGACTGCAGAATCTGCTCCATTATCTTTGTTGCAATTCTGACTTAAGTGTTCTATCTTCTAAAATGCCTAAGGTGTAGACAGAGCACTTGTCTATACTCCTAAACTGCTGTTGATGACCCCTAATCATATTCACTGGGGACCCAAGAAGTAAGACTTGCAATAAAGCCTCCAAAATTCCACAGAAATGAGCTAAAATACATACAAATCTATAAAATACTTTCAACAACAACGTATCCCTCCAGCTTGCGAGTACAGCAGTGTAACAGGAAGATCACTTTATTTTTAGGCCCTGACTCTGTTTCCTCACAGCCACGTGTGATCAAGTTGTGTGTATATTACAGAGACGGGCTAGGTCACTAAAGTCAAGATGTGTATTTGTACAGCAGAGAGGGACAGACTGAGTCAGGCTTAGGGTAATGCTGTAGAGATGTACAACCTGCCAATGAGGACCCAAGGGTAGTAGCATAGTTGGCTTGAAGCAAATCCTCAGTGCTAAATGTGTAGAAGGTATCGTGATCCAGTGTTAGTTTACAGAAAGCCATTCCCCCACTTGTCATAACAAGAAGGGCAGATGCTATATACTGAGCTAATACAGGTGCAGGGTTCAATATGAGCTCTTAATTCTCTCGCTGCTTCTGGAACGAAGGCCTTTAGCTTTTCTTGGAAAGAGGAAGTTTCGAAAAACACATGATCCAGTTAAGGATCTACGATTTTGCCATGATTATAATTTACTTTACTCAGTATCAAATACATAACCACAAGTTTTAAACAGAACTTCTTTAAGGTGAGTTTTCTCAGTAGCTTGGATATCCATTTTCACCTGTTTCGTGCGAAGCACTAAATAATCTCAACACAGGAAGTTTACAAACTAATGGGTAATAAGAATGCATAAGAATGTTTCATGCCTTCTGACATACAATACCTGTTATGTTTAGACAAGCTGAGCAGTGAAAGGAGGAGAAAACTGTTAGGTATTTCACAGGAAACCCACAGAATCCAAACTTCCTCCAATTCATAACCAAGAACTTCCTCTGGCATTGCCAAGGCTCTGGAAAGCCAGAAAACCTTACATTCCTTGCAAACTCTGCTTAGAATGTCTAGCAATCAAAGACTGGGCTAAGAGTAAGACAAAGCAACTACTCCCTGGGTTAAGAAATTGCAGGGGCTTTTATACAAAGCAGTTTTACATTGAACAGGCAGCATCTGATGCTGACTCTTCCAATGCTACCACTGTAGACATGAGAAGTTATTGTAAGAATACTTTGGGGCTACCTCACTTCCCAAATCTGTATTGATAACCTGCAGCACAAAGGTTACTAGGGAAATACGAAAAAATGCAAGATTACTGGGTTTCAGAAAATGTTAGCTTTTTGTATTTTAGGCTGAGACTTCCATGGAAGTTCAATGAGAAGTAGTACTTTAACATGCAAATTACAAAGACATGCCAATCTCCCAAAATCTCCCAAATATAAATGACATCTCTATGTGCACAGAACAATTGACATCTCCCCCTCTCGCTTTGATACAGTAACTCTGTTTATAACACTCAAGACTTTGTTTTGACAACCTCACCTGTTTTGAAACAGGAGGACCAAAATACCCATTTCCCCCTCCCACTGAACTGTGAAAACCTAGCCCTGACCCTTGCTCTAACTGACACCAAACACAAAGACAACTCTTGTAGGGTTGTATCTAGATTGCAAACTGACCCCACGCCTCACCAAGCCTGATACTCCCTCCTTAAACTCATGTATCAAGAAAGCTCTTCAGCCTCCTGTGGGAAAATAGGTTAAGATTGACACGAGCCTATGGTGTTCCTTTGTTGTAGCAAGCTTACATATCATTGTAACCTGTTGCTCATTGCAGAAATAAAGCAAAAGGTGGGGCGGTCAGAGTAGGTGCAACAAAACACTTTAATCCTCGGAGGGTCAGAGGAGGGGACAGCTTCTGCAGTATAGGGCCCGGCCTTCAGTATTGTCAAACTCTTTTGTCAACAACCCTTGCAATCAAAATACTAGATTCATTTCACCTATAAGCACCAATCATATACAGATATAAGTTTATAGGAAATGGAGAACTGATTTATCATTTATAGAATTATTTTACCTTAGGGAGCTTACTTTGGGTATGCTGAAGAATCACACTGTCATCAAACTTTGATCATCAGAAATCCTAGCCTGGGTACCATCCCCAGTAGTATATTCGCAAACTCTATAACTGGGTCTGGACTTGATCACATATAAAACGATTGGTCATGACGTCACGTAATGAGCTAGCCCGAGCAGCGGGGCTTCATTTGATTGGCTGAGCCTCAGAGACGACGGCCAATGGCGCGCCTGCATTATTCAAGTGATGTTTGTTGTTTTGTAAACACAGATCTTCGCGCGAGTGTTCCTTTTCTCGGTGCGTTCTTTTTTTTACCGGTAGGACGCCCAAAACATCACGAACGAAATTATTCAATGCATCTTTTTGCTCATTTTTGAGCGACGATATTCCGTCTAAATCGTCCAAAACGGACGTGATTGCGACGTCAACATCAACCTCCGTGAGCTGAGCGGCTTGTGCCTGAGCCATGTTGATGATTTATCGCGGAAAGACTGACTACGGCTATATCATGTGCGCTTTAGCGTTCGGTTCGCCGTCGGACATGTTGATGATAAGGCGTTCGGACGTTCGAACGGACGCTAACGTCGCCGTTCGGACGTCTTACCTAATATGTACATACCCCAAAAAGGGCTTAGACGAGTAGGACCAATCAGCGCGCTCGTTCAAAATCTGAACGAATATTTAGACTCCAGACGCTACATATGTGTGCAAGTCCAGACCCATTTATAGAGTTTGCGAATATACTACTGGGGATGGCACCCAGGCTACAGAAATCCCACATAGAACTGCAATTTAACAATCATTAGTGGTTTTCCTTTTTTTGCCAGCTCTGATCAAGAGTACTTCTGAGGACATTTCTGAGACGTTCAACCAAAAAGAAGACCTGCTAAACAGTGTCAGCAGAACATCTGATGGCAATGGTTAAGGAGTTCAACATGCGTTACGTGTTCCTGCTCGTATCCTGCCTCCTGCTGCAGCATCTTGCCACAGTCACCTCCTGCCCAACAAGCCCGGCATGCTCCTGCGATGGCACAGATGTCAACTGCAACAGTCTCCAGTTGAACGTCATTCCGACCAACATACCCACCGATACCACTGCTTTAAGTCTTTCCCAAAACCAGATTGCCGCTTTCTTTGTGGACATCTTCTGTTCCTTTGACAGTCTACAGACTCTTGACTTATCCTACAACCATCTGCTGACTCTAGAAGAGGCAGCATTTTGCAGGCTGTCCACCATAGTGACTCTTGACCTCTCACATAACAACCTACACGACATTCATGAATCCACCTTTGATGGCCTCTCATCTGTTCAAACTCTGAGACTCTCATACAACAACTTGAGGAATTTACCCAATGGCTCATTCTCTGACTTGGCAGGTCTGAAAACAATTGACTTGTCTCATAACTCTCTGACAGAGCTGCCTGAAAATATCTTCCTCTCCAACGATCTCAACAACCTGGACCTTTCCTACAATTACCTAACTTCCTTCCCCCTCTCTCAGGCATTGCCACTAGATAAAAGCTTTGCAAGTGTCTTCAACTATCAACTCAAAATTGACTCCAACAGGATCACGACCTTCCCTTCTTCTGCCTCTGCTCATTTTGAATACTACGTGTGGGCAACAGTAACCATGGCGGACAATGCCATCAGTTGTGACTGCGAACTACTGCCATTTGCAAACATGCACAAGGCGGGCATCTACAGTCCATTTGATTGGCCAGTCTACCTGGCATGTGGCAGTCCTGATTGGCTACAGGGACAACAGATCTACTACCTGGACACTGCAAAACTGACCTGTATTGCCCCAAACATCACACGCACTGCTCAGGACCAGGATGTGAACGTGGTTCAGGGAAACAGCACAATATTAAGCTGTGAGGCAACTGGTCTACCAAACCCAACAATCGTGTGGACACTGCCAAACGGTGACACTGTAGATTCTTCCACAGAGGGAAACACCAAATTCACCCTATCAGAGTCTGGTGCATTATACATTGCGAACACTGAACCGGGTGATGAAGGCAGCTACAAGTGTGAAGCAGAGAATACTTATGGATCTGTTGCTATTTACCACAATGTTACTGTAATGAAAAGACTGATGAGTGAGACAGTGGACACTAGTACACAGAACACACTGCTGTCTTCAACACAGGCAATGACATCACCTGTGAATGAGTCAGAAAATAGCATCTGGAATAGTTTCATCCCAGATGAAGCCGTGCCAATCACTGTCATTGTGTCAACCATGGTTGGAAGTGTTTTGGTCATTGGTGCCAGCATAGCAGGAGTTAATGTTTGTATTGCAAAGTGTACAGCTGCCAAAGCAACACAAGTGGTTCCCATTTAGATACCATTTGCAACATAACATGTAAGTTTTTCTTGTCTTCACATTAACTTGGGTGATCCAAGTGAGTTTTTGTAAAAATGACATGTTTTATGATTATCAGTTGTAAGTATTATGAAGTACTATTAATAGTGTAAAGTATAGAAATGTTTGGTCAACATCTGGGATATTTAGCTTTGAGTATAAAGCAGTACTGTACTGTACTGTAAGATCTGGACATATTTGGTCTGCATGTATATAACTATAGGATGGACCTGCTGAGTTATACTTATAAGAGACATGACGACACTCACCCCTGATTTTGCTGCCAGCGCTTTTCCCACCTGGTTGTGGATGTTGGTCAGCATTCTCATGGCCTAAGAGTGGAGAAGATGATTGTCTTAAAATTAAACCACAAACAAATTTGTGTGGAATTTCTCTGAAGGTATACTGGTTGTATGTATTACATGTGCATGTGTACATGACAATAATCTATTGCAGATTTGATACTCATCTACATTCTTGGTACTGTATAAGACTGGTGTGTGTATATACTTGTACAGCTTCTAATGTTCTCTATCTGTAAATATGATGATGATGAGGTATACATTGAATATATGAACCTGTAACAACACCGTGTTGTTCCTGGTTTTGTTTGCTTCTAAGGAAGTAAATAAGTGTGAAAAAAGGAGGAAGGGTGGAAGGAAGAAAAAGAAGGAGAGAGGAATACAAGGGATAACAAACAGTATCAGGACACTAAAAGACAAGATATTGGGGCAAACTCTCTTTTCCTTACATTTTCAATAATTCCAAATAAAGCAGAAAACAGCCAATGTCAAATACCTCTTTAAATGGCAGTCCTGGTTTTGGCATGATGAGCAGTTCTTTGATACAGTTCAGCTTGCCTGGTCCAGCCTTGCCACCGTGATACACACACACCATTGGCAGGGGGAGTCTCAGCTTGCTAGGCACCTGCAAAAGTAGTGATAAACAAAAAAGGTTTAAACAAGATTCAAAGCAAAGAAATTCTAGACTGTACAAGATGTTTCAATCTGGAACCAATTATATTCAATTCAATGAATAGACAAGCCAATGTAACCAGTTCCCTATACTTAACATTCAAAAGCCCTGCCTTAATTAACTGCATGGTAGCCTTGGCCCTACTTTTGAGAGGGTCAATAGCATCATAAATAGACCTGGACAACATAAAACAAAACTCCCATTCTGATTCATACCAGATACATGTAATTATAATGCCTGTTAGCCTTGGCATAGTCTGTCTCTACCAAGGTCAATAACACATTGAATAAACCTAATATAGATATAAGTGGTTACCTCTCCGGTCCTGAGTGCTGCTACATGTGAGTACAGGGGCTGCCTGCTAGCCTGGGCCCCAGCCTCCAGTAGGGCCAGCGATGCTGCACACACAGCCTGGATACCACGAGGAAGCTCCTCCCTGTAAGCAAAAGTGCGCATTGGACATTTTGTGCATCAAGGAGAAGGTTAATTGCGAAGTCATTAGTGCAGAATTACTGAGAAATCAGACCCAGCACTGCTAGAAAAAAAGTGACATCTCGATCCAAAATCTGGTAACCTACCTATAGCTACTTATTCACTGACAGTGACACCACTAAAATTAGCAGGATGCTGCATAAGCATGACAAAGTTACAGAATCATGACAAAATTTGAGAAATTTCTTAATTACTTAGGTTGTGGTGGTAGAATGACACTTGTTGCACTGCCTTTTCCCTTCTTCCCCTTGCCGCCCTTTTCTGAAGGTGCTTTGGGTGTCGGTGCTCTGGGAGACTCCTCCTCCTCCTTTGCTTTCTTAGCTTTCAGCTCCTCTTCAAACTGTTCAAGAATCTTTGCTATGAAACTCCTGCAAAAAATGTCCAAGAATGTTTTGGATATCGTAATACATTTTTAAAAAGCAGGTTGAAATACTTTAAAAAGAGTAGAACAATATTCCCACATACTTCACTCTCTGGTCTCCTTCCCTCTGATTGGCTACCTCTGTACCAGACAGGGCTTCTGTGATTGGCCCAGCAAGGTACTCCATGGCAACCTTTAATGACTCCGCCTTCTCTGCCTCCTCTTCCTCTGTAACAGTTGTGTCCCAGTTGGTGGTGGGAACAGTAACTGTGCAGAGTACCTGAAAAAGGTACATGTTTGCTAAGACACAGCAGAACTTATTGAATTTTTAATTTTTTTTTAAACTGTGACATAATCATTGAAATATGAAGTTGAACAATGTGCAATCTCAATCATATTTAGTAAGTCCAAGTAAAACCCTCATCCATTTAGTTTTGGGTTTGCAACATTTTCAAAATACATGTATCATCAAAGGCAGATTTGAACAGATAACATGTAGAGTGTACATGTACATCCTCAAACCTTACTTTGTCTATATTGTTGACCACTCCATGGATTTCTGCCTGTATGGTAGGTTGTCCCCTACAGTCTGCTGCCTCTTGAACAGTGACCTGGCTGACTGTTGGTGGTTTAGCATACTGTTGGAAATATTCAGCCTGCAAAGAGTGTATGTTTAATAAATCAATGTGTCAGTCAGTTTGTCCCAAGCTAGGACATATATTGAACTTCCAAATTACAAAACAGCCTGGCTTACCATTAAAATTATTAACCATTGACTTTTCAGTGCCTCTAATTTGACTTAAGCAAATAATAGTGAGATCAGTCAATGTCAATGAATGTCAATGAACTTTCACACAACCAAAAACCCTTTCAAGGCGAACTCACTAGATGGCCATAGATGTCCTCTGGGTTCTCATAGAACATGTCGTTGAGAACCTGTTCCATGCGCTGTGGCACGTGGTTGTCCTGGTAGAACTTGACGGCCTGCTGCTTCAGTTCGTACAGTTCCCGCGCCTCCCGTGCTGAGCTGGATGTCGTGGTCCCGCCCAGGCGGCTCGTGGCGGCTGATGTCATTGTAGCTTATGGCACTGAGGTGGAAGAAAATAGACGCTCAGACATGTACTTTTAAGTCTTAGAATTTCTTTGTGCTTATATTAGTTCAACCAAAACTCATTCGCTTCAATTTTGGTAGGGATATCCTTATGAACATCAAAATCAAACAATTATACTAAAGCATTGTTGATACGTTTGATTTAATTTCGAGTAAGTATATTGATGGGAAGGTAATCTGAGTTATGTGATTCAGAGTTAAAAGTAAAAATTATTACAATCATGAAATGTGAATTCAAAATCTTACTATCTGACTTTATAGTAGAGTTTTGGACACAACCGTGATTTAAGACATACAAATTAGCATACTTGGCATCATCATAACTAAGCTCAGGTCCTTCCACTATCATAACACACATACCAAGAAGGTTTAAACGTCCTTCCACCTACGTAGTCGTTGGGATGGGCCCCCCCATCCCAAAGACTGTTGGGTTGGGTTGGGGGGGGGGCACAAATGGTATAAATTACTCGTACTCACCGTACGCGTCCTTGGGTCAAGTATATGACGGCTGGTGTATTTCAAGCCTTCCACCAATACGACACTTTATAAATTGCGAGTAATTGAACCCACTGACCGTCTATAAATATAAAGAAAAACTGGTTTGAATGTGACAACTGCAATTTTTTTTCAAACTAGTCCGCCATCTTGTTTTGGTTGCCATGAACGCGGATCGAGTTTCAAGGTCAGAGGTCAACACTATCGTTTTAACCCAATTTAACCTTCAAGACAGCAATTCTGCCGATTTTGTGTACATCCATCGCCAAAGTGTCTCCTTAGTTTTTATATGACAACATTCTTTGGTGTAAAAAGGCGCAGAAATGACTGAAACCTTTAACCGGAAGTGAGCGAGGTTGCCGTGGGCATTGACATGCAAATCAACAAGTTGCTTTGGCTTCGGCAAACAAACTTCTGTAGTCAGGGTGAGCTCGGAACTTTCTGTGCCAGTTCAGTTGGTTTGTCCTCAGTTTTCTGACTTAAACGGGATGTAATGAGTGTTTACTCCTGCAAGAATATCTTGTAAGCCGCGATATCGGGATGGCCAGTGAAGGACAGACTCTAGGGGACCGGAGGATGAGCGCGGTCGGGGCGGGGAGGGCGGTGTTGCCGAGGCGGCGTACCCGGCGTGTCGTTGCCGTCAGCAAGAAGAAAATCGTGGAGGACGAGTTCATGGCAGCCGCGATCGGCGACGTCAAGTGGTTGGAGCAAAGTCTGAGGGATGGGAGATCTACCACGGCTATGGACAAAAACGTAAGGCAGTTATACTAATGCCTCTAAGTATCCTCTAACAGGTGGGCAGGTAACAGGTGTACATATGGGGGGGGGGTACTTAACATTTCATGTACATTTTGTACATTGTATATATCGTTATACACATGGGACCAGCCGTGATTTTCCCCAACACTCAGTTATCTCCCAGGAGTTCAGCCTTTGTCACCAATGGTGGCTGGATGTAAAAAACCTGCAAGGTAAAACTAATGACTGGCACCCTTATACTTTCAGTACATAAAGACATTACATACAGTCATGAAAAATGTAAATTGAGAATCAATCTGTAGCTGTTGAGATTAAAGGTATTCCCATTTAGTCCAAATTCCCACAAATGACCCAAGTCCCCATGGGGATTTTATTGACAAGTATTGGAATGAATTGCATTTCATCACTGGGAAGTCACTTCAACCAATTATCTACTATCCCATTGTCCCACATTTGTTATTTTGCTTGAAACTTTTCCCAACACCATTGCAGTATTGACTACCAACATGGAAAGATGCCATATTCGCTAATGTGGAACGGGATGATTTTCAACCTGTTGTCATCTCAAATAGTTCTTCTTTTGCCCCTGAACAGGGTCTTGCAACCATCCATCTAGCTGCCCTGCATGGCCGCCTGGAGTGCCTGAAGCTCCTGGTGGAGAAGTACAAGGTGGACGTGGACTTCCCCAGCAGTACCGGCTGGCGGGCAGTTCATCTGGTCATCAACAAGGAGACAGGGAAGAGGGCGCACAAATGTCTGCAGTATCTTCTAGAGAAGGGAGCTGACCCTTCTGCGTGAGTACCACATACAATGCTTTCCTTCAATTGAGGATGACAAAAGTAGAGAGACCACCCTTTTTATATACAAAATTCAGCTCAGGAAACAGAATTATCTCAGTCCCTTCAGTGTCCCATCAGCAGTCTGTATGATAATAAGATCAAGGAACTATCGGTAAATTCTTATTAACTTCTGCAATCAATAACTTATAATCATTATGTAACATCCTTGGTTCAATAGGGCTAATGTCCATTTATTAGAAGACATTGACTTCTACTCAAAGTTGCCATAACTTCCCAGGGACAAGAAAATGGATTGCTATGATTGACCCAAAGTGACAATGTTGCTTGTTCCTTTTCAGCATGAATGATGACAGCCTGACACCTGTCCATCAGGCGGCCAGTGAGGGGCTGGTCGACTGCCTTCAGCTGCTCATCGATTGTAGGGGAGTGGTTGATGTCATAGATGTCAGGGGTCATCGACCTATTGACCTTGCCAAATTGTGGGGTCACAGGAAATGTGCAAGGTAAGGCTACGTCATGTTAGCTGCATGGTTCATAGACTCAAGAGACAGTAAAAAGTTTGGAGGATGAGAAGATGAAAGTTGGAAAGGCTAGTTGTGATGAATATAAGTTCTTTTGAGAGTTGGCACAATGTATATTACTAACCAGTAGAAATAAAATGATGAAAATGTCAGCAGTTTAGAGGTTGATCAATGTGAAACCTCCATTGACAGTAATCTTCTCTTTCAGAATGCTTGCATCTGTCATGTGGTCCCAAGAGAAAGAGTTCTTTGCCAAGGAGATGAGGCAACTTGGCCAGGTCACAGCCAAGTACTGGGACTTTGAACGGGACACAGCAGAGACGAAACGTGCTGAGCAGGACTTCTACGGACAGGTTGCATTTGGTAATTGGATAGATGATAAAGGTCTCCCTGCAAAACTCAAGCAGATAGACTTCCTCTCGCGCCCAGAGCAGTTCCCTGCAAAGCCCAGCACCACAAAGTCTAAAACAAGCACACGGTCTGGAGAGGGCACTACCACTGGCTCTGGACTGTATAGACCTAACAGCAAACTAGCAGCACCCACAGTGTCTAGTGTCAAGAAAGAGGATGTCCTTAGGGGTATTCAGACCACCACTCAAAAGTTTCCAGTAAGAGAACAGGGGCTGAGACCCCCTACCCAGCCTCCACCAGAGATCGTAGAACACCCAGCATCTCCTTCAAAATCCCCTGATTCACCCAGAAAGGACATGAAGGCAAACCACACAAAGGAATGGAAACAATTCTTTACAAACATAGAGTCCGAGCCCAAAACTGACATCTTCCGTCCACACGAGGTGCGCAGAAGTGTAGAACCAGAGGACAACAACCCTTTCGAAGGACTCCGGCGCACCAAATCTCAACCGATCACAAGCCATTTGGGGTATGATCTTAAGGAGATTGAGAGACCAGTAACGTCCGGTGGCTTGCGCATGCCAGTGTTGCCAGAAGAGGTCATCAGGCGAGGCTTGTCACGACAGCGGCTGCCGCACGAGCGGATCAAGATGCCACAAGAGTTCAAGTGTGTGAATATCATCGACGTCCAACAGAAGAGGCTCCCGGATCCTGAGGTACGACAGGGCGAGGCAGCCATGCATCTGGCCCAGACACTGGAGTCCAACTTGTTCCAGCTGGCTGTCGGAGACAATGCATGTAGGATGAGCACTGGCAACTCCTCAACAGCGACCTCTAGCACCGACATCCAGTACTCCAGGGAGAGGGTGATGAACACAATGAAGAGGCTGGAGAAGCCCAAGCCCTTCCCTGCAATGCCAGGGCCTGACTATGTGCTGAACCTGAGTGGAACAATGGGGGTGTAGCCTAAGGTATCAGTGGAAGTCAGGATTTTTTAGCAACACCTCAGGGGCAGAGATCTAAATTTCATCTTTGCTACTTCTGTGATTATAGAACCAGAGGTGATGATGTTAATTTTCCCCCTTCAACTTCTGAAGTTTGAATTTGAGATGTATCATCTTGCAAAAACAGTTCAAATTTGTGAAGAGAGGCAGGGAACTTGGAGGAAGTAGGATGTTTATCATGTATATTTTTCAAGAAAGGCAGTATTAGCTGTCAATAACATAGGAAGAATTCTTTGTACAGCAGTTCATGGAAGCAATGATGTACTGTTCTGTTATTTGGATTACTTCCACCTTTAAACACATGTACCTTGTACTGTATTGTGTTATTCTTTTGTAACAATGCTGTTACAAGAAGGTCAGTATGTTTATTTTACTAATGATAGTCATTCAAGAACTTGTTATGGGAATCCTGACAAGTTGCCTTTAACATTCTATGAAATGTAGCAGTTCTGTGAAAGATTATATAAATGGAATATTTAACTTAATGTTAACCTTCAGATGTTTATCATAGTTATTAATTTCCTAAAGTAAGATAAACCTGAGAGCTGAACTTGTCAGGTAAATTATCTTTCGTGATACATATTGCATTGTTTGCTGCTGCTATTTTCAACAGTTACTATAGTTGTAATCTAAATGGTTCAGAAGAATGAAAATTTAACCCAAATTTTTTTGCCTGTTGTCTCATTATGTTGCAAGTTTTTAAACTTACAAAGACTTTGTAGCATGATTTACCAGCTGTAGTTACAGCAAAACATCGTAACATAGTGGGTAACTCAGCAAAGTAGGGTGGGAATATGAAGGTTTTGCTGAACTTATTGCAAGGTATGGAAAATAAAACCTTTAATGTAAGCATTTTTTTAACTGTTCAAACCCTAAAACTTGGAGTACCATTTCTGACATCGACAATCAATTGCATCAGTTCATCTTGTCAATGGGAATATGTTAATACCAAGAACTCTAAAATCGTCAAAAGTCATTCCTGATATGTTTTAACTGTGTATTGTGATCTATTCCTTTTTCATACCATGAAGTTGCCCCAAAGGCTTAAGATTTTACATTTAGATTTGCAACTCTCTCTTTTCAATCACCAATAGTGGGCGCTCAGTACACCAAGACAAGACCTCGGATTAAGAAACCGATCTGCGGCGTCTATAGATCTAGTATTCACCATCCTTCCAAGTCTTGCGAAGCCTCGGTGATTTGGCAGGCTTTCCAACCAAATCTCGACTGGTGTGGATTTTAGTGAGTCTCTAAATCTTCTTATGATATACATGTTGTCGTCCTATAGGATTTATGTCTATTTTCTCTGCCTGTGGGGAGAAATATATGTTTTAATCAGACTAGTCTGAGTTGATCGAAGAGTAATACAGACACAGAAGCATGATGAGCCCCGGGCCTTTTCCGTGAGTGATCTGTGCCGTTGGAATAAATACTCCTGTTTATCTAGCTCGACCCTCCATCCCCGGACTCACTAACTTGTCTCCGTCAGGACCGACTGGCCAATAGGTGCGGCACGTTACAGACACGTCCCGGGCCCCGCGGAAACCACGGCACCAGGAATATCGACAATTCCCTCCCCTCATTACAGAACAGACTCCACAAATACCGCCTCCCACAGCCGGCTCCACGGTACGGAGAGATCGGGGTCCCCCGGGACACGCCGGGATTGGGGCTGACCACAGATCACCCTGCAAGTGGCTTTTGGCATTAGTACGTAATCCTCAGTAATAACTCGCTGTAATAGTTGCTAATGGGACAGAGGAGTGAACCAGAGTTGTCTGGAAGTTTGCGAAGTCAGTGGGTGAAGTTGAGTGGTGGTTATTAGAAAATAGGGAGAATGACTTTCGACATTTCGAAAAGTACTCTAAGTGTAACTAGTACTTTTTGTATTAGCACATTGTAGTTGCCAATGTACAAGATTACCGTGAGTACTAGATGCTGGTACAATGTGAATAGACTATATTCTACATACGATTAGAAGTAACAAGAATCGGGTCTAATGACAGTAATGTTTGACAATTGCTAAAAGAGAGATACGGTGACAGCAACCATTTACACAATTGCAATATTTCTTTGATAGTCACAAATCAGGGATTTCACTCGATTTCATCGTCAGACGTACTTTAAAGTTCCTGTTAGGCCTAATAGCCTTTGGCGAATTTCTTGAAACAGACACCATATCATATTTGTAATAAAAGCGGGCTTTTCTGAAAAATTTAGACGAATTGCCATTGTTATATAGTCCTTTCCGTAATCCGTGTAGCGAAGGAGGGGTTCGTTATGTCAAGCTGTTAGGAGACAGGCCCAAAGTCTGGAGTTCTCAGACATCTTACTGTCCGGGATGTACGTCTCCATCACCTGTCTGCATCTCCGCGGACTTTAGGCGGGTTTGCCGTGATAAATGACTCCACGGAGCTGTTGGTGCGAACTCAGGAGCCAGACGGGCTCCCTCCAAGTACTGAAGTGTCGCCGTTTTTGTTTTAGTGTCTGCGTGAGTTTAATCCACTTACGTGATATCGCAACTTTAACAACTCACAATACGCGCCCCCTTACCCAAGCGATGTTTCATACATGACAGTCTCACCATGATGCCACTCCCACGGGTTATTTGTTATGTCCTGCACGAAAACAACCAGGACAATCTATCTCATTTCTAAAATAGGCCAGGAGACGGTTACTGGCACAAGCTGACGCCTTTCTAACTATATTCGTCTGCAATCTTTTTGCATCACCACAGATAAAGACGTTCTATTGACGCCCTCTAGGATATTGACTCATCATTATTCACAATCATGGCCAGCAAAACAAGTCCAAACTTCTGGTTTTCCGCTTAAGTTAGAGGTGCGAAAATGAATCTCCAAAAAGTTAAACCAGAGGTCCTGATTGTTGGAAACTATTGCAGCTTCATTCAATATCATAGTCGCGAGTCTTATCTGATAACCTTTGAACTCCATATTAACTGCCTAACTGACTTTGCCTTTTTTTAGAAAGATAAGGAGCGGAAAGCTCAAACATATTGTCGACATCCGTGCGCGCCCGACACCGCAAGGTTCCCCGCCAGACTGCGGTCAGGACGTCCCGTGTGACTCCGGATCAAGAATCGATACTCGGTGGCCGCCACGCGCCGTATCGCCGGCCCAGATCTCCCAACAATAATTGGTGGCATGAATATAATTGTCGGAGAAATAAATGGGATTGTCAGGACCCATCAGGAAGGCTGGTGCCAGGCGGGCTCACAGGAAAGATCATCTCGCCACGGAGGGCGAAGGCCAAATAGATGGGATTTTGCTTTGGAAACGTTTTGATTGCTTTGCACTGTTTTCCTCCTCACGTTGTTGCAGAGGCAGGCAAGGTTGGATGAAATACGCTGCGTATTTCTAGTCACATATCTGTTTTGACACTCGTCCATGTCCACCAAGAGACACTGAACTAACGTTACACACTGTCGGAATTTAAAGAACATAAAAGGACGTTTAAGGTGTTAATGATAACCGGTTCATGTGGATCAGCGTAACTCAACTCATTGCCTTCTCCTCGTTAGTACAGTATTACACAGTCTGTCTCTGCCATCAATGGGCGCGTAAGACGATGAAACGATCGTAGAAATCTCCGCAGGCTTGGTGAAACTGCCGTAAGAATTACAGTCCTGCGGTAATAGGCAGACCGACGGAGCCATGAATTCTCTCCCAGTCCGCTCCCGCCGCCTCTCGTTCACACAGCCTCGTTAAACTTCCCCAGCTGATAGCTTGTGTCACAAGACAGCTATTAACATGTTGTTTCTCCAACTATCGATATGAAAGCCGTCTTTCATTTGACAAATACGTTCGTCACCGTGTGGAGCCCGGCTGTCTGCTCGCGCGCAGGGGACGCTCCCTGGAAAGATAAAAATTGATGACAGAAAGTTTCTCCTGAGACGGCTTGTAATTTCAAGCGACAATTTGTTAAGTGGAGTAACGCGGGGACGGGGAACTGGTTCGGTTGTTATTGGTTCTATCAGTCACTTCGCGAGCAGAACAATAAATTACGACATCAAAAACAGTAACGCAGCGGTCCAAATGCCGAACACTACAACAATTTCTTCTGATTTGTTGAACGTGAATCCTGATCATCATCAAATCGTTCCTAATCAACGCCATTAGGATCGCGTCGTTACCAGTACGGGTGAATGCGTCACAAAACAGTAACCGCTACCGAACAGTACCACATTTGCCGAGAAGGATATATTTTAAATGTAAAACACTGACACAGCTGATAAAACTAGAAAAAAATTATTAGGAAACTTCCAAACAGAAAGTTGTTTGTGTGCACGCCTGCCAAAACTGCGGTATATCCGCCATATCCAAAGAGATGTTTGTATCCAATAAGACTTTTTCACCTTCCAATGTACACCATCTTATGGAGTTAGAACTATGCTAGAACAACTAACTCGTGCGCCTATCATTATGTTGTAAGAGCCCTAACCGTGCGATAAATCGTCACTAAAGAGAAGGCTATCTATCAGCAAAATGGCTTTACACTGACACAAATCATATCTTGTCGGCACATTGTGCTGAAATTTAGACTAGAACATCAAACATTTCAGCACCTTGGGCAAAGGCCGCGGACCTGCCTATCTTCAGGCGGCCAGGTCTGCACTTTCATAGGGTTGTAATTAGTGTCAAACACAGAGTTAGGGAGACTGTTAACAATTCAAAAAGTGATACGGAGAGTACGTTAATGTATTTTCAGGTAATGATCAAATCATCTGAAAGGGATCCAATTATAGAGAGCGAGGATTTCCTCAAACCTTTAAATCAGAAGCTTTTAGGTATTGAGAGTGAAACACAAGGGGCTGAAGCGGCTAGCATTGTACAAAGTTGGGCTCAATCTGACAGTAGTTGCCCCAGGGACGGCCATAATGTATTTTCCCTTTTATGTAGAACTCCTACTCTTAGTGAGAAGAGAGTTGGGCTATTAGACTTTTTTGAGGTTAACGTTGCCATTTCTCAAGCAGGGAACTGACAGCTTGATGTGACCCTTACTCTCGTGACGGACGTCACAGGCGGACCTTACTGATGACTGGGAGTAACCTGCCGGGCCCGTCACAGGCTCAGTCGTCCGCCGCCCGACGTCAGGCTGACGTATTGCACCAGACTTGCCGGGTTACT